ACACCCAAAGAACAACTAATCCAATCAAGAAATGGGCAGAAGACAGGAAAAGACATTTCTGCAAAGAAGACATCCAAATGGCCAACAGACACATGAAAAAGTGCTCAACATCGCTCAGCATCAGGGAAATCCAAATCAAAACCTCAATGAGATACCACCTCACACCAGTCAGAATGGCTAAAATTATCAAGTCAGGAAACGACAGATGTTGGTAGGGATGCGGAGAAAGGGGAACCCTCCTACACTGTTGGTGGGAATGCAAGCTGGTGCAGCCACTCTGGAAAACAGTATGGAGGTTCCTCAAAAAGTTGAAAATAGAGCTACCATACGATCCAGCAATTGCACTACTGGGTATTTACCCCAAAGAAACAAATGTAGGGATCCGAAGGGGTATGTGCACCCCGATGTTAATAGCAGCAATGTCCACAATAGCCAAACTGTGGAAAGAGCCAAGATGTCCATCAACAGATGAATGTATATAGAAGATGTGGTATGTATATACAATGGGATATTATGCAGCCGTCAAAAGGAATGAAAACTTGCCATTTGCAACGATGTGGATGGAATTGGAGGGTATTATGCTAAACGAAATGAGTCAATCAGAGAAAGATAAGTATCATATCATCTCACTGATATGAGGATTTTGAGAAACAAGACAGAGGATCATAGGGGAAGAGAGGGAAAAATGAAACAAGATGAAACCAGAGAGGGAGACAAACCATAAAAGACACTTAATCTCAAGAAACAAACTGAGGGTTGCTGGAGTGGAGGGGGATGGGAAGGATGGGGTGGCTGGGTGATGGACATTGGGGAGGGTATGTGCTATGGTGAGCACTGTGAACTGTGTAAGAGTAATGAATCACAGACCTGTACCCCTGAAACAAATAATACATATGTTCATTAAAAATAAAAAAAAAATGTATTTCAGAATAACAACAACAAAAAACAAAGAGATAAACATGTTGGGTTGGATTCTTGCTTTTCTAGCATAAAATGCCCTTGATTATTATTGGTATGTATGCATTTCCTCAGGCTGTATGTTTAGAGACTTGGAATTCATGTGAACTGCAATGAAGAAAGAATATTCTAAACTAACAGACTCTTCTGTACACTATGCTTTATTTTAGTATTGGCGGGTTTTGATGTGTTTTGCCACAAAGGCACACACATATCAAAAAATAAAAATAGGTTTTAAAGCAAGAAAACAGTTCATAGAATTCAAGCAGTCATTTGAAATAAACTTGTCTTTGTGGAGAGATGTCATTAAGCCTCACGATACCTCTTTCTTCACTTAGGTTAACATGGATCTGCATCACTAACATGCTGCCTTCACTAAAACTTGAGAACTCTACAGATTTATGAACTCCTTAGAGATTATAAAGATTCTCTACCTTGTAGGGAGGGGTAGGAAACAATGCATTTTATGGTCTCACAATATGCTTGAAGAAAAGTAATATTATCTCAGATCACTTTACAGATGATGACTGTGCTCTTTAAGTATCCTGCCTCAAATGAGATTCCTCTTTCTCAATTCCCATAACTTTTACACACAATTTTCTGACACCTGGAGAAAATTTCTAATATCAAATTCAGATAGCCTATCCATCAACTGGTCAAAACTGCCACCTACTGGTCAGTCTTCAAATCTATTTTTCCCTTGACCCAAGCCTTGCTTTACCATGGTCAGATCCTTTCCTTCAAAATGGTAAAGGTCAGCTTGGCGGAGCAAGATGGCGGGGGAGTAGGAGACCTGGATTTCCTCTGGTCTCAGGAATTCAGCTGAATAGGGATCAAACCATTCTGAACACCTACGAACTCAACAGGAGTCCGAAGAAGAGAGTAGCAACAACTCTCTGAACAGAGAAGCGACCACTTTCTGGAAGGTAGGACGTGCAGAGAAGTGAATCCGAGGCGATATTCGGCAGGATAGACAGCGGGGGAGGGGCCTCCGTCGGCCGCTTCTGGCAAGTGATAGAGCCGCGGAGCACAAAATCGGAACTTTTCGAAGTCGGCTCCGCTGAGGGACGTCGCTCCAGTGGCCAAGCAGGGGGTGGAACCCTCGCGGGACAGTGTGGTCTCAGGACCCTCGGGGTCACAGAAAGCCCGGGGGTGCCTGAGTGCGGCAGAGTTCGCAGGTATCGGAGCAGGGAAGCCGGGAGCAGAGACGGAGCCGAGGTGCGGGCTCTCAGCTTGGGGTGGCCATAAACTATGATCCGTGGCCCAGTCGGGCCACTGCTCCTCCAGCAGGGACCCAACAAGCGGCAGAGCCGGGGAGACTCCCCTTCCTCCCCCGGGGAGGAGCGGCGCGGGAACGCACCGCAGGGATCTGCTGGGTTTGGAGACTCCACACGGGGTCGGGTGCCAGAGATAGAAACGCTCGGTCACAGGCCGGGTGAGCACGCAGCGCGGCCAGAGACCAGGGAGACGGGAGTGACTGCTTTTCTCTGGGGGCGCACTGAGGAGCGGGGCCCCGAGTTCTCGGCTCCTCTGAGTGGAGATTGGGAAGCCACCATTTTCACCCTGGTCCTCCAAAGCTGTACCAGAGCTTGCAGGGAACAAAAGCTCCTGAGAGCAAACCTGAGCAGCTTGCTTAGCCTGGACGGACAAGGGTGGGGCAATTCCGCCTCCGGCAAAGACATTTGGGAACCACAGCAACAGGCCCCTCCCCCAGAAGATCAGCACGAACAGCCAGCAAGCCAAGACCAAGTTTACTGATCAAGGAGAATGGGAGAACTCCAGTGCTAGGGGAATACTGCACATAGAATTCATGGCTTTTTTTTTACCATGATTCATTAGTTTTTCAAAGTTATTTTTTTAACTGTTTTTTTTTTTAATTTTTCTTTTTCCCTTTTTCAACCAACATCTTATCAATCCCTTTTTTTTAAAAAAATATTTTTTATTTTTCATTTTTAGAGTCATATTTTATCCCTTCGTAGTAGTTACCCTTATTTTTGGCATATAAGTTGTTCTCTCTTTAAAATTTTGAGATACAGTTTCTTCTAACAGATCAAAATATACCCTAAATCACTAGTGTATGGCTTTGTTCTAGTCTCCTGCCTGATCACATTCTCTCCCCTTTTTTTTTTAATTTTCATCTTTCTTTTTTCAAACAACTTCTTATAGTATCAATTCCTTTTATAAAATCTTTTATAATTTTCATCTTTATAGTCATCTTCCATCCCTTCAGTGTATCAACCCTTATTTTGTACATATATAAGTCTTTCTTCCTTTAAAATTTTAGGAGGCACTTTTTTCTAACAGACCAAAATACGCCCAAAATCTAGTGTGTGGCACTGATCTATGCACTAGCCTGATCATATTTGATCATATTCCGGTTTTTTTTGTATTATTCTGTTTTTGTTTTTATCTTTTTCTTTTTGTTTTTTTCTTTCTTTTCTCTTTCTTTTTTCTTTCTTTCCCTTTCTTTTCCCCTGGTTTCAGGTCTTTTCTGATTTGTATAGAGTATATTTGCTGGGGACGTTGTTAACCTGTTAGCATTTTGTTCTCTCATTCATCTATTCTCCTCTGGACAAAATGACAAGACGAAAAAAATCACCTCAGCAAAAAGAACAAGAGATAGTACCGTCAGCCAGGGTCCTACTCAATACGGACATTAGTATGATGTCGGACCTAGAGTTCAGAATCATGACTTTAAAGATACTAGCTGGTCTTGAAAAAAGCGTGGAAATTATTAGAGAAACCCTTTCTGGAGAAATAAAAGAACTAAAATCTAACCAAGTCAAAATCAAAAAGGCTATTAATGAGGTGCAATAAAAAATGGGGGCACTAACTGCTAGGATAAACGAGGCAGAAGAGAGAATCAGCAATATAGAAGACCAAATGATGGAAAATAAAGAGTCTGAGAAAAAGAGAGATAAACAACTACAGGATCACGAGGGCAGAATTCAAGAGATAAGTGATACTATAAGATGAAACAACATTAGAATAATTGGGATCCCAGAAGAAGAAGAAAGAGAGAGAGGGGCAGAAGGTATATTGGAGCAAAGAATAGCAGAGAACTTCCCTAATGTGAGGAAGGAAACAGGCATCAAAATCGAGGAGGCACAGAGAACCCCTCTCAAAATCAATAAAAATAGGTCAACACCCCAACATCTAATAGTAAAACTTACCAGTCTCAGAGACAAAGAGAAAATCCTGAAAGCAGCTCGGGAGAAGAGATATGTAACCTACAATGGTAGAAATATTAGATTGGCAACAGACCTATCCACAGAGACCTGGCAGGCCAGAAACGACTGGCAAGATATCTTCAGAGCACTAAACGAGAAAAATATGCAGCCAAGAATACTATATCCAGCTAGGCTGTCATTGAAAATAGAAGGAGAGATCAAAAGCTTCCAGGACAAACAAGAACTAAAGGAATTTGCAAACACGAAACCAGCCCTCCAAGAAATATTGAAAGGGGTCCTCTAAGCAAAGAGAGAGCCTAAAAGCAGCATAGATCAGAATGGAACACAGACAATATACAGTAACAGTCACCTTACAGGCAATACAATGGCACTAAATTCATACCTTTCAATAGTTAACCTGAATGTAAATGGGCTAAATGCCCCAATCAAAAGACACAGGCTATCGGATTGGATTAAAAAACAAGACCCATCGATATGCTGTCTGCAAGAGACTCATTTTAGACCCAAAGACACCCCCAGATTGAAAGTGAGGGGGTGGAAAACCATTTACCATGCTAATGGACACCAAAAGAAAGCTGGGGTGGCAATCCTTATATCAGACAAATTAGATTTTAAACCAAAGACTGTAATAAGAGATGAGGAAGGACCCTAAATCCTACTTAAAGGGTCTATCCAACAAGAAGATCTAACAATTGTAAATATCTATGCCCCTAACATGGGAGCAGCCAATTATATAAGGCAATTAGTAACAAAATGGTAAAGGTCAATTACTATAACCAGACATAAAGCAATTATCCTTTTAACAACATTCACCCTCTCTAGGGTGAACCAAAAATGCCAAATCGTACAAACCTGCCAATAAAATCATCCCTTTTCCCAGCATCTTTGTCCCAGGCGGTGATATCAATAATCCCACCTTTCTCTTCATAGAGATGAAAATCAAATTGTTCCCTCCACTGTGGATTCAAAGTTTTTGGCATAATCTGGAAAACAAAAAAAGTAATCGTTGTTGCATAAATATCAGTCTTTTAAAAAAATTTAACTCGAGGCATTAAATAAAAATTAAGGTGCTATCTAGAAAAGCATGTGTGAGATTTGAACAAAAGCTTCCAGAAATGATGGAAATGAGTCATTAGATGTCTAGCATCTTTAATGCATATCATCTGAAGGAACTCTTGAGGATATGTCCTGAAAACCAAAGGGCACCCCTTTGTCATCTTGAATAAGAGATGAGACGTATGAATTATACAGAAAAGGCAAATAGTCTACAAGTGAAATAGCTCACTCAGATACTAGCATTTATTTTACATAACCGGTTAATGCACAAAGACATAACTCACAGTCTGTCATCTCATAACAAAGGGAGATGTGGATTCCCAGGTTTTTTTTTCCCCCTTACTCCCCGCACACATGGGAATTCTGAGCTGAATACATGGAGAAACCCCAGACAATGAAGTTCTATGGGAGCAGGAGGAAACAGTAAGTAACTTTGGGGTGGTCAGGCAAACATTTATGTTAGAATTAGAGCATTGATGTTTCATCCCCATTTTATATCTGGAGAAACTGAGACCTAGAGTTGAAGTGACTGACGTTTTAGTATCTAGACTCTAACTCGGGTCTTTGATTAGAGCCTCAGGTCTCTTTCCCCAAAACAACATGCCAAAATATGTTTGTGAATTAATATGAGTGTGTGTGTATAATCTCTATATTGCAAATACAAAAAAGGTATCTTTCTCGAAGTGCAATTTTGTAACTTTAAGTATTCAGAAAAGACATCTGGTAGAATCAAGCAATAGAGTGACCCATATTGATGTGCTTTGAAATTTCATTCACCATTGGGTTAAACAACATTCATATTTGTTTCCCTATTCTTTCTTTTTGGCAGGAGGGCATGGAGCGGCCTTTTCTCTTTTGAATGTATAAGGGACAGATCTTCAGATGTAAAGACTTCGAAAGCAATGAAGTATGTTACGTGCAAAGGTAATACAAATGAATCACAATTTTTAAAGTTCATAATCTGAAATTAATCAGCAATATATCATGAAAGAAAGAGCAAAGAGAGACACGTGTCCATAGCTGAGTTTCATATTTCATACCTAAAGAGCAGAACTATAAAAATAAGTAATGTTTTAAGTCTACCAGAACATGGAAATGATGTTAATTGATAAAGGACAAGATAGAAGTAGTTATAGGTACCTATTTTTGGAATCAGTAGTTTCTTTAAAATATGTTATTAAGTCCATGGCAGAAAAAAAAGATGGCACTAGAGGATCCTATGATAATTCAAATCTCTCATTACTGGGTTCAGATGCAACTTCTATGGTATTTTGGGGAATGGTCTGTCTTCCTTATTTGTCCATCAAGAGCCTAATTTTTCAGTTTCCTTTTTAAGGGCAGTCTTCCCTACATGATTTCCTTCAGGTCAGAAGTGACCTGAAGGTGACCTGCCCCCTCCGTGTGGGCACTCAAGAAGGTAACCAATCAGCCTGTGAGCAGTTCTCACTGCCTACTAATGAATCAGCTCTGTGATATTTCTAACTACCTAGTTACTGATGAAAACTTCCTGTGCCAGAAGGAACCTAGGCAGGCTATTTATCAAAAGTTCTTGAAAATGATAATGTCAAAGTGAAGATATTCCCATCAAAGTAGAATGTGATTTTTAATACAAGACAGATATGAGGAGCTGTCCCAAGTGATGAATACTCGCTGTAGGAAGCTGACCATTTAAGAGGTTGTATTTGTTTTCATTGTGGTTTTTCGGTTTTTTAAAAGTTTTTATTTACTTGTTTAAGTAACCTCTACACCCAATGTGGGGCTCAAACTCATGACCCCAAGATTGAGAGTCACATGCTCTTCCAACTGAGCCAGACAGGCCCCCCAAAAAGGTTGTATTTGGATACAACACAGATAAGACATGTGCCACAAATAAACTATGACCACTATGACCTTTGCTAATTATTATTACTTCTATCAATAATATACTAAGATGGCTATTTAATATATTATTACTACTAATATAATTGTTATTATACAATATACTTATTACTGCTGCTAATCTTCTTTCTGCTACTACCATTTATTGAGTATTAATTGTGGATGAGACAGTATTCCAAGCCCTTGACATGCATAACATATATTTATTCAGTCTTCTCAATAACATTATTAGGTAGGCATTATCATTTTTTTTATATTTTTTTTAAAGAGTTATTTATTTGTCAGAGAGAGAGAGAGAGAGTACAAGCAGGGGGAATGGCAGGCAGAGGGAGAAGCAGGCTTCCCACTGAGCGGGGAGCCCGATTCAGGGCTCGATCCCAGGACTCTGAGATCATGACCTGAGCTGAAGGCAGACACTTAACAACTGAGCCACCCAGGCATCCCTAGGCATTATTTTAATTCTCATTTTTACAGATGGGGAAACTGGGGCATGGAGAGTCAGAGTAACCTGCCCCATGGCACACTGCTAGTATGGGCAGCAGGAATTTGGCCCTTTGTTTTCTTAAACAAATAAAGGAAAAATCTTGCAATCTGCATTGGTGTAAGTCAGCTGGGATAAAATGTTTCAGAGTAATGTACAAAGACTTTTGGTATCTTTACATGGTATATAAAATAATGCTATTTGTAGTGCTGATACCAGTACTAATTGTAATAATAATAGTAGCCAACACTGAGCATGTTATGCGCCAGTCATCAATTTAGGTTTGTTCCAGCTTTTTTTTTTTTTTTTTTTTTTTAAAGATACGTTCAACTCCTGTGTTATAGATGAAGAAGTTGAGACAGGAAAGTAGTTTACGCAAGGTCACACAGCACATTAAGTAAGAAATGCAACAGCACAGTTATTGGTCAGGTTTGCTGATCTGATGTTCGAAAGAAGTTCTGTTAAGCATTTAAAAAAGTATCTAGTGTTTTCATCTCCCAAAGCATGGCCATTAGCCAACCACTGCCTGCCAAACACCGACAGGAACACAAAAGAGATATGGTTACCTTGCTCTTATACTTCTGATGCCCAAGCCGGAACTTCACATAGGGGTCACTCAACCCATTTGAATCCATTGCCTTGAGGTCTCGTCCCTCAATCAACGTGATGCTGACTATTCCTCTCCAAAGCTGTGATTTTCTGTGTACGTCTGATAGACGTAAACTTTGGGTCTGAAACTTTTGGTAAAGGAAAGCAGAGTTAGCCTCTTGAGTTTTAAACCAAAATACCTCATTTGGCATTACCCTTTCTCCTGTTACGATTTTTTGAAAAGAAAAAAAAAATAGGTAGTTACAATTAAAAAAATAAACATAATTTACAGATTATTTATTAATTATAAAACCATCAATAAATGTGAAATTATCATCTCATGATAAATTTAAGGTTGCTGTTTAAAAGAGGCAAATGCTTAAAGTCTAGTTTTCTAACTCTTAAAATCACAAGATGTGGATACTTTAAGAATATCAGAGAATATATACCTACGTCAAATATGTCAAATATGCCAGTGCCAAAATATGTAAAAAATAAATATTATGAATACCAAAGGCCTCATCCACACTGTGATATTTGATTTTTAATTAGTTATGGTTTTTGAAATCTCTTTTTCATGTTACCAGTTGGTTTTAGTAGTGGGTTTTAGTTGTAAGATTAGTTACGAGTTCTGTGCAGTCAATTAAAAAACGTCTTAATTGCCACGTTAGGAGACAATGGAGTTTCAGTGCACTAGAGAAGGTACTGTAGAACAGAAAACGAAATCAATATGCTCATCTGAGGTGTCTCGCTTATGCTGAAACTTGCGTCACAAATTTTAAAAATTACATATGTGATTTACATTGGCGGGTATGTTTCTGAAATTACTTCTCATTCTAGTTCTTGAACATGTTCCTTCATGATTTTTATTATGCTCAATTCTAAGTCACAATATTCAAGCCAGTGAACAAAGTCACAATTTTTGAAAATTAGGAAGCCTACCAGAAATGGCTGTTTAATCTCTTTGAACTAAACAGCACATACAACAAATCAAAGTAGCTAAAATGTTAAAATCTTTTCAATTTGGATTCAGAACCAAGCAGTACTATATTGTCAAGCATGTTTTTTTCACTTACAGTCATTTCATGAAGAAATTCAACATGTCTCTCCACCTCAAAGTACCCCATTTCTAAATTATAGATTAACTCTGCTTTCAGCCCAATTCCTTCAACATTAACATTATAAAGTTAGAGCCTATTTTGTATAACTCCCTCTTTCACTTTGAGTTCCTGCTTTTTTTCCTTACCACACTAACGCCATAGCCATTTTTATCTATCATTATGAAAAGTAATGCATTTCAGGTTGCTTTTATTAGGAAAATGATAACTACATTCTTCAAAAGGCAGTACTTTTTATATTTGAACCTTTTAATGGAACTCTTTCTAAATCACATTATCTAGTTCCTTGCCTTGGTGATCCCCAAATTTTGAACAACATTGCCTGGGGGCTCTGCCTTATTAATAGCAACACAGGACTGCACCTACACACCCCATACCTCTGTGAGCTCCGAGAGCAGTGTTCAGATGTGTTCTGGGGTGCACTGGACTTTCACGGAGCACCTGTAACTTCCACGGGACTCCATGCCCCACTTCAGCTAGAGGCCCTCTGCTCTCATCTGTTTCACACATTGACTTTCTGCATTGGCTTTTGTTTGAACCAAGGATTTAACAGATTAAAAAGTTTATTGCACCAAGTGACCTTGAAGGGGTTCTAAGATTTCATGCTACTTATTAATATATAATGCAGCAATAGATAACAGTGTGTTTTTATTCATTTATTTTATCTATCTATCTATCTATCTATCTAACCACTTCTGCTGCTCTTGAGATTGCCTCTAAATACCGACTCTAGAAAAACAGATTCTAAACTTTGGGTCTGAACGTTTTGTTAAGGAATGTGAGTGGCAAAGAAGGAAAGAAGAAAAATGAATTTTTGATAAGTAAGAAGAAATAATTATCTTAGCAAAGGCCAAGGAGTTAATAACAACCCATTTACATAGAGCTGTAGAATTTCAAAGTGCATGTGTGTGCATTATATCACTTGATTCCCACTAAAACCCTCTGAAGTAGGAAGACAAGGCCTGCTATTTCCATTTTAATGATGAGGAATTTGAGGCTTAGTGTGGTTTGGGCTAATAGATGTTGGATGTTTGACTAGAATCCAGTATTTCTGACCTTTATTCCTGAGCTTCTCCCAATATTGGTCTTTGGGGTAGAGACTCTCTCCTAGGTTTAAAAGTAATCATGATTTAAGTATAATGTTCCTAATGTTCGTATAATGTTCCAGGGAGGTGAGCTGTTATATTTGAAATGACATCCCAGTCTAGATTTTCCTGCACGGTAATATGTGAAATCACCTTCTACTTTTCTCTTGTAGGAGCACATGCATTCATACTTACAAGACTTCAGCTTGTTGACGGACATACTTAGTAACACTTTCTAGGCACTCTAGAAATAGAAGTCTCACAGGGCACTTAGTCACATTATATGTGGGTACAATCTAGGCTACGTGGTACCTTCAATTAGCAATGCTAAGTTAGCTTCTCGAATGGTACTAAGTCTGAAACCCTTCCTAGCTTGCCCCTCCTTTCGTTTCTCACATGAGAACAGGAACTTTACTTACAGGGTGGGAAGCAGAAAGAATGCTTTCCATGGGATCCTTTATGCTTTCATAGAAATAAAAGGAACTTCATGGAGGCTTTACCTAGTGCCATTCATTACAAAATTCTTTTCTATAACCTGGAAGAACGTTCCTAAAACGAGTTGGAAAGCCAAGGGAGAGGAAGAGGGATATTGCTTCATACAAACAGGGTTAATGAATGTGGGAATTAAGGTGAACTGCATAAAAGTTTAAAAGGAAAAAGGAGAGGGGGTCCCAAAGGCATACTAACCAGATACCATTTTAAAAGGAATTTTTCCATCTTCAATATTTTTATTTGTTAAAAATGGTACTTTTCTAAAAAGAGGCTCCATAAGGGGTACCTGGGTGGCTCAGTCAGTTAAATGTCTGCCTTCAGCTCAGGTCATGATCCCACTGTCCTGGGAACCAGCCTCATGTTGGGCTCCCTGCTCAGCAGGAAGCCTGCTTCTCCCTCTGCCTCTGCCCCACCTTCAACTTGTGCTCTCTCTCTCAAATAAATAAATTAAAAAAAATCTTTTTTAAAAAAAGAAGCTCCATAATTCTTTTGTGATTTGATTAATGCATAGTCATGAAATAGATATTTAGTCTACGTATAAAGAATAGGAACTTGAAATAAAACTATAAGGTAAAGGGGGAAGATAGAAAGTTATACCACCAGGACTAGAAGAGACAATGACTTAACATAAGGACTCACTTGCATCTTTCTAGCAATTTCTGACTGTAACTTGGGCATGTAGCTTCTTCTCTGGGCCTCAGTTTTCTTCTCTCCCTCCTTTTTTTTGCCTTTTTAAAGATTTTATTCCTTCATTTGTCAGAGAGAGAGAGAGAGAGAGACCACAGCAGGGAGAGCAGCAGGCAGAGGGAGAGGCTCCCCGCTGAGCAAGGAGCCCATGACCCTGGGATCATGACCTGAGCGGAAGGCAGATGTTTAACCAACTGAGACACTCAGGCATCCTGGGCCTGAGTTTTCTTACCTATGGTTCTCCAAACTGTACTCCAGAGCTCCAAGTGTACTAACAGCACTATTCTGTGTGTGTGTGGGGGGGGGGTGGTAAAAGGGGGTTAAGGGTGTCTGTGGGTAGGGGGGCCTGAATAGAAAACAGTATATCCCATAAACAGAAAAGATTTAACCTGCTTAAGATAGTCATTTGTCACTTTTATTAATTTCTTAAATCAAAGTTTCGGGGAGCTTGTTGAAGGGATGTGACAAATGGAATTCCACAACTACAAAAAAAATGAAACTTTGAAAACCACTAGCGTTAATGCTCTTCCAGATACTTGCTGAGTCACTTGCTGCTCTATTTAAAGTTTCCTCCCTCTGTATAGCAAAGTTCTCAAAGTGTGGGCCACAGACCAATGGCATCAGTGTCACCGGGGAGCTGGCTAGAAATACAAATTTTTTAGCCACGCTCCAGACCAACAGAATCAGAAGCTCTGGTTTACTCAGCCCTCACTCAAGGTCATTCTGATGCATGCTCAAGGGTGCGAATCCCTGCTTTAAAAGTTCTAAGGGTCATAGGCACTGGCCTTCTCCTATGTTCTAATCACTATTATTAATTACTATAACTGTGAACATTATCCATTCTCTTGCATGGATACCATATATGCTAATTAAAGTCTTTCAGTCCTGATTCTAAATTTACTGATTAGGATAGCAGGTTGATCTGGATATTTGGAGAATTTAAAAGAGAGAAGCAGGAGCCTACTGCAAAGTTGTGTTACATTCATTTATTATTTCCTTCCTTTAGCAGTTTTTTTTTTTCTCATAGGATGTACTTAAATAACATATTAATTGAAGTATTGATAGTCAATCAAAAATTGCTTATTGAGCACCTAAACGGAAGGAGTGTTAGATCCAAGATATCCCTCAATAAAATTGACATATTAGAGCTGGGATTTAGTTATCTGAGATGTTTTCAATTATGTCCTTGTTGAAACAGAATTCTGTTTGCGGAAAGAAATAGGAAGGAAGAAGAAAAAGGAAAAACAATCTGGCTTCGAAGCGAAGAACTGACACTGCAAAAGGAAGAAATAACCTTTGAAATTTTAAAGGAGTAATTCCCAAATTTTAGCAGGCAGTTTGTTGAGATCAATGGGCCTGACCATCCTGGATGTGATTCGGTTCTCGTGCAGCAGAGCTACTCACGTATTTCCAGCGTGTGCCCCACGTGATCCTCACGCACACTGAAGTTTGAGATCATTCTCGTAAGGAACATTCATCCAAGTTCAGACTTAATCAAGACTATCAAAACACTAGATATCAATACCAATTTGAAATTCTGAGGCAATTAGACATTGACCTGTATCGTTAGTAAGATTTTAGAATGGGTGAGTTGGCATCTTAAGGATATATTAGTTTATGCATATTATTACTTGAAAAGGAATTTAAGATTCAATTCCTCTTCAAATGCATAAAAAAAGTTAGAATAGGGAATATGTTTTCAGAACAGTAAATTAGGCATGAGAATTCACAGCCCATGCAAGCTCAGAAGGAATAAACAAACTGAACGATCGAACTTACTTGTGCATTTTGGTCATAATTACTCTGAAGCTCTGCTCTGCAGAAGCCCAGGACAGGAAGAGCAGGCCTGCCGCACGTCTGGATGGAGATGAACGATCAGAACTGTACAGGAAAGCTTTGGGGGCACTATTGACACCTCATTTCAATCAGTGTTTAGCATTACTTTTCAGAAACACATTATTTGAAAAAAAAAAAGTATCGGCTCCCCAAGTCACTGTCAGAAAATGTCTTCTAGCACAATGAAGATAAGTGCCAGTGCAATAATATCATTTCCGGCCACCATTTTCTTTAGTGGCATAATACCACAGTGGTCAAAAAGAACAAAGAAGGACAGAGATTAAACAGTGATGGACCCCTGCTGGAGTGTTTCAGGTTTTCATTCATAAGCATGGTAGCGAAAAGAAACGTAGGAAGAGAAATCATGCAAAGAATCATTTCCCCAAGACTCTGCTTCAGAATATTTAGGATACTGTTTCCAATGTCAAAAAAGTGGTAAGGCCCCAGAAGAATACATATTACATGGATAGGCAACAACTATGATCACCTTAACTGCATCCCACATGCGAATCTTTTGTAATGATTAAAGAGATATCTCTAAAGAACAGAGAAATTTTGCCCCATGTGATCTGTCCCATTTTCTCTTTGTTGCCCTTGTGCCTAAGAAAGCAACAAAAAAGTTCCTTTGTTGCTAAGACCAAGAGCAGCAAGAGATGGATTCAGAAAGATGCAGCTGAACAAGAAATACTGGAAGGAAATTATCATGATAAGCCAAGAGTTTGTATCAAATGACTAGAGCATCTAGACAGTTTCCAAACAATAAAATTATCATGAGATGAGAACATCAACAGGGAGGGTTAGATTCAGCCAATCTGAAAGACAGGTTAGATCATACACTAAGAAATAAGCATGTATTGAGCCACTTTTAAGTGCTAGGGTTTTCATACTCCAGTGTTTTTCATAACAGGCATTTTTAAGGTAAAGAAACTGAGGCACAGGGATGATAAATACCCTACTCAAAGCCAAATGGTTAGTGACTGGCAAGGCTGAGATTTGAATCTGTGGTTGCTGATACCTAATTGATCATTTTACCCAGTATATCTCATGTTTAGAACAAAGCCTAAGAAGTTCATAATACAAAAACAAAAAGGGAAATAATGTGTACAGGATTTCTTGAAATACTTTGACTCCTATTTAGATAAAATATATCCACGGGTATCAGTTATTGAGGAAGTCTAATCAGGGGCTTAGAGAAAGCAAAAGTAGGCAGGTGGTAATAACTCTAGCATATATTGTTCAGTAAAGCATAGGAGAGTTAAGTGTGCTCCATCATGAATTATCGTCTAGCATCTATTAATAAGGTGGTGAAGTTATAGAATTTCATAAGTAAATTGAGAACACATCTATATTTCAATTCTGGTTATTAAAGCTTATTAATTCAATTCCTTGAAAAACCGGATCACTAATAGAAGGAGGTATCCTATTATTCTAGATCTTGATTAAAAAACAGATCAAAACCAAACCAATCTATCTAGATTTACCATGTGGCTAAAAACCACTCAGTCATATTAATCTTCTCCCTGATATGTGCAAATAATCCTTGGCTTTTGTTATCTTGGATTTTATTACCTGTATACAACCTAATCCCTCCAAATGAGACCCAGACCCTGTGAAACTGGAGTGAAAGACATCAGTGTGTCTTTACAATAGCTGTGTGTGGAGTCAGCTCACCTCTATTTTCAGCACAGAGGTGCACATGCTTTTATTTAATCAAATGATCCACGAGACACGACAAAGAAGGGATAATGACAGCCTAGAATGGCTGTTTTGTGCTGCAAAGCCTGGAGCATGGAGCAATTATTAGCTCAATCCCAGGCACAGGCATGGTCTATCTTTCCCTTTGCCTGCCGGGTTTATTCTAGTGAATTGCTCCTTGGTGATGAAGTCCAACAAGTAGATTTGTTCTACAGTCCATCCAGCCTCTCAAAGCAGTATTGCCTTTACAGAAAACCTTCCCAGGGCTTTGTCCAGCCTACTTTAAAGTGCCTCATGTAATAATAAGGCTTCGATCCCTTTTTTCTTAGAAGATGATTCGCAGCACTATAATCTTTAGAGAAACTCTCCTGGTTTTTATCCTTAAACTTTCTTTCTTATTTCTGTTGCTTCTTGAAACAACTTAAGGTGTCAAGAAGCTATTTATGTTTACTTCAGATGCTTTATCTAAACTTAACTGTGGCCAAACAAAAGTTCTTAAGCTTTTATGATGTTTGATCAAGTTATATACTGATAGAAAATCATCATATATGTTGTAATCTTATTGGTTTGCTCAAGTAATGTATTGGTTTCCACCAATGATGTAAAGAAATAATGAGTCCTGGGTTTGACTTACATTTTTTCTTTTGAGACTTTTAATTAAATGTTACAAATACATTGTTTTCTGAGGGTCTTACTTTCCTACCTAAAGGTATAAATAATACCTCCACTTTTCTTGGGTGTATGTCATACACGGTTGAGTTGTTCAGAACATAAGCACTTCAGCACAGGATAACATTCTTGTTTGATAGAACCAATACTTCTCCTTGCTCTGCAGCATCTTCCTTCAACCACACTTTGATTTGACCCTACCCTAAGATGGTGCTTTGACATAATTCCGAACCATTCTGTATTCTGTGCACTCTCTGAGGCCCATTTCATATTATGATCCATCTCTCCATTTCTATATGTGGTATCTTGGTATAGCCTAGCCTTCTCCATTTAAACAATCTTTTCTCTTTAATTCACTATAGTGTTCTCATAACATGGTTTGTTTAATTAACTCTCAGTCTTGAAAATCTAAATGTCTGGTCAATGGAGTTTTGTTATTCTTAATGGGAAGTTAAAAATCTTCAATGAAATTCTGACTTAGGGTAATTCAAGTGGCTTCACATAATGTTTGTTGGCTTCATGAGAAACATGGTTAATTGCCATACCCCCTGCTTAATGTTTTGTGTCCTAAGCTATCATGTTTTGATGAATTATAAATGTCATATCTTTGGAAAATTAGAATATCTCTGTATCACTTCATTTTTTCTATTATTTTGCTCTCAAGAAAAGTAAGATCTACCAAGTAGCCTTGACATTTATTAAGCAAGTTCTCACCAGGATTCAGTTTCACATGGTGTAATTCAGTTGCTGTCTCCAGGACACATGTATTGATCCTTATAAATAAGCTGATAAAAACCACAAAGCACACATATGCTCCTTATGTAAGATTTTATCTGAACTATTTAGGTTTTCTGCATATCTAAAAATGTCTACAAAAACCTTCCTTCATCCACATCTTCTCTAAAAGTTTAATCACAGTATAAATATTACCTGGGCAAAGAGCAATGAGGTCAGTTATGAGAGGACCTTTGAATGTGAATATGAAGTATCATACTCATCCAAAGTAGACTGGATCATGGATTTTCAGATTCTGTAAGATGGGACCTCAAACATAGCAACACCACAGCCCTTAAACACATCCATCTATCAGTGGGTTAAGGAGCTGTGGGGGAGAAGTGTTACATAATGCAAGAAGAATCTGAAAGGGGGTCAGTGAAGACAAACTAAGGGAAGGACTCTATTTCTACATCACATCTATATTCATCATTGACCTGAAAAGGAACTCAGTTGCTTTAAACAATTATATTTATGATATTCATAGAAAGAAAAATATTGTTCCTGATCTGTCATCCCATTTTTAGGTACATAAGGTCAATGGCATCACTTCTCTGGGCCTTAGTTTCCTCGGTGATAAAATAAATGAGCCCTAAAGGTTCTGCCTTTATGACTCACTTTGTTAGTTACTCAACAAATGCTCAGAAGACTCAACAGATGCTTAGACCACTGTACCTCAAATACAAAAAAGTTATATTTTAAATTTGTGTATTTCTTATTTTAAAATTAGTGCAAGAGATTGAGAAAGGTTAGTAAAGAATATTTAAGGATTAAAAAAAAGAATATTTAAAGATGAACACAACCAAATGGAAAGTCCTGGTACATGGAATACTAATTTGGAAGTAGCAAAGTGGAAAGGTGTTGAAAGAATCATTGGAAGGGAAACCCTTAAAATTTATTACTTATGCAATTGATCCTGGTAGCAAGGCTTCATTCATATGATCAGTTTGCACGTTGGCTGCATATAGAACAGATTCAACACAGAATACTCCTGAATTCTGCTCTCTTGGCAAAGAAGTATACTGTATGAATTTACCATACTTGTGGGTCTCAAGAAAAGAGAGACTAAATTTTTGCCAAAAGTCAAACTCCACTTAAGATAATGTGACAGTTCAAGAGCAGTCGCTCTGTGTTTTCATGGATAATGCATGAACATATCAAAGAAATTATTGTTATTTTAGCAAAGACACAGAATAACATCAGTGAAGGCAGCCATCAGTAGACTGAAAGGAAATGAAGATTCTATAATAATTAAAATAAGCTCTCGTCAATGAAAGGCTGCCAAAAAAAAAAAAAAAAAGTGTGCATGGAGGGAACATAGCCATGATGAAAAGAGGTGGTTTATACTGGCTCAGTACATGACTTAATCTAGTGCCGGGCGGTCTGCTTAAAAGACACTAAAACAAATCTTAACGTTCTAAAGAGGAAAGGTAGTTTTCAGTCATGAGCAGTTTTAGAGCCAAGGAAAGAAAATGGCAAGGCCTGATGAGTATAGCATTTTCTCTGCAGTATCTATTGCTAGGTAATCATGTACCAAATGTGAATTTTCAAAGAAAGAAGGAAACTCTCAGCAAACTAGTAAGTGCATTTGTAATAAATCGTGCTGTGCATAATGCAGAATTAGAGCAGAGCAAAAAGGATGACAGAGCTCGCTATGTGTAAGTCATGAAAGAGTAAATAACATTAAATTGCAATGGCATTTAAAACAAATTCTCTGTAGAATTTTCACTTTTTTCTTTATTTAAATCAAAAGCAGAGTTGCTGTTTTCTAATTCATAAGTTTTTTTTTCCCCAAAGAAAGAACACTGATTATCTAGTATGTATATAGTATAAGATCACTGTAATGTGAGTAAATTTTTCTCAAACAGATGGAGCAGATTTTACAAGAAGGGGAAAAAAGAAACTGAATGGACCCTCTAGACAGCACCATCATCTTCCTGGAAGGGCTGTGGGCCTCTAGCTGGCAAGAATTTGGGATAAACTTGGTCCCACAAGGAACTGACTTCAAAACAATATATTCGGTATATGAAGTTCTTAGTTTATATAAATGAAGAAATGAAAGACTCACCCAAATGGCTTGGAATAAAAGTTAATAAAGAAGGCCAATTGAATACATTTTTCTGAGAGCCTATTTCAAAAAGTGAATTTCCTATTCCATATTTAACTTTCAAAATTACTATTCAAAACCAAAGTCAAGAATATTACTATAAAGGATTTAGACATTACCCTCCAAAAGAAAGACTTCACAGAAAAATAAGATCCAACCACTTCATTTTCTGAGAGATCCTAAAAACAAACAAATATTTAGCTACATTTTGAGGTGTTTTTGAGAATACTTAATTAGCCCAACAAAATCAAAATGAACAAGCCAAAACTATATATCCTAATGACCCTTCCGATGTTTATAAACTGTTAGTTTTCTTCCCTTGAGTAAATTAAAGTTTTTTGTCTTATTCCTATCTGGTATCAATGGTAGTAAGTTTAAAAAGGATTCTTTCTGTCATTTTTAAGAATCTACTTACCTCTTTATTCTTAAATTATTGATTATTACATCTCAGAGTCTAACACTTTATTTTAGAAAGTACGACTGTTCAAACAAACTATAAGATTCTGAAGGGAGTCAGATAATATCTTCCTTTTAACAAAACAAATTAACACCATAGACCTTCAGAGCTTTTTTAAAGAATGACAATAGAAATCTTATTTATAAACACACACCTAGTCAAAATTGGTTTAATGCCTTATTAAAACTTCCTAGTTTTATGATATAATATAGAATATAGATAATGTAAGTTAACTTGAGCTCCACAAAAATAATTTTGACAAGAAATGAACACTGAGCAGGGTGGCAACTGGGTTGAAAACAAAGTCACAGATTCATGTTGGATATTTTATTACTAATCCTCAGACTTTCATAAAGTGAAACCAATTCAACTTTAGGAAATCAAAACCATAGTTGCTCACTTTTAAAGAGAACATTTGCATTACATACATCCTTTACACTTGAATGTTTTGCATCCTGTCTCTGGGTGTCAGTTATGGTAAAATTATGGGAAACCGGGGACACATACAGGGCAGTATTGACCATAGACACTGTGATGGAGAAGATGAAGTTTTGTAACTTATTTGATTACTCCATGATTTTGCGTTAGCAGTTAAGATAGTAGTCCAGCACCTCACATGATGCCTATTGCATAGTAGGTGCTCAATAAATAATTTGTTGATTGTTAGTCACTTGGAGTTTCATTTGGTTAGGTATAGATATTCCTTCCAAACATGATACCAAAAATCATATCAGAAAATAATAGTGAACTAAAATGTTTAGGGTGTGCAGCAAGTTGAATAATTTAAATTTAGAACTAGAATTACATCAGAGATCGTCTATACAATCTACCTGTTTTGTTTTGCTTTGTTTTTAACATGAAACCTATTTCTCAACAAGATTAGATCACTTTCCCAAGTTCCCTGCATAGGGTTTTGTCAGGTAGCATGGCTAATGCCAGAGATGACTGGGGAAAAGTCCAGAGCTTAAGACATCGTTTTATTGGCACTACAAAGCTATAATTCATTTACATTTACAGCTATGATTCTCATCTGTCACACTTAGGACACTGTCATATCAGTATCTCAAAAAAACAAACAAACAAACAAACCAAGTCTCTCAAGAAACATATTTACATTTGGACATTGGGACATGAACCTTATATGGAATGGTTGCAGTCTTTTTTGATGCTGTACATTGTTTAATGTAAAAAAAATCTCATTCTAGCTTTTACAAAAGATGCGTGTTTTTCTTTTTGTATTACCCATTCTCTCCTTACTTTGATTTCCAACTCTTTTGTAATTAAACAGCATGTTTAACAACATGTGGAAAAAATTTTAAAGTATATTAAAGACACTGAAGTCTTGGAGTCTCCTTACACAAATAATTTCCCCAGAGCCAATAACACAGTTATGCAACTAAGAGTGAGTTTTATCTTTTTTTTTTAAAGATTTTATTTATTTATTTGACAGAGAGAGACACAGCGAGAGAGGGAACACAAGCAGGGGGAGTGGGAGAGGGAGAAGCAGGCCTCCTGCCGAGCAGGGAACCCGATGCAGGGCTCGATCCCAGGACACTGGGATCATGACCTGAGCCGAAGGCAGACACTAAACGACTGAGCCACCCAGGCACCCCAAGAGTGAGTTTTATCTTAATGTAAAATGTATTAAGGCAACTTAAATGGATGTGAAAGTATTGGCTTTAGACTCAAGGCAGTTATAACAAATAATATGGCCATTAAACATTTAGAAGTCTTGTTAATTCATTTAAAGTTTAGGTGGTGTAAAGTGACTAATATTGAAAATGTACCAACTCCATAATTCCCATTGCTTCCTCAGATGAATACAGACGTTAATGACCTAATTATGTGACTAGTATGCAAAGAGCAAGATGAGATTGATGAATTTTTTGTATGTGTGGGGAGTTTTAATGATCAAGATTTAGAACATAGGTTTCTCTGTTAAAATTTGAGAAACAAAAATATTAGCCACATTTGGATCCACCAAGGTCCCTAGGCTGTGCTTTTCATGCCATGTTTAATTACTTCTGTCATTATTCATCAACTAAAATTTATATTTCATTTTACAACCTACATTCTCATGTAAATTTAGGCCTTTATTTCAAATGGAACAACTTAATTTTCCTGTGGACTCTTATGCCATTTATTGCCTTGATGAATATAAAATCCACAGCAGATGAGGCAAGGCTTTTCTTTCATGAGAGTTTCTAATAATAACAACAATAACAAGACACCTGGCATTATGATAAAGAGTTCTAAAAAAAAAGCGATTTTATCAGGAGGGCAAGAAAAACCAAATGAACTGTTCGTGAATTTCAGAGAAGACTGGTCTTCAATCATGATTGTAGATATTTAGTTATACTTCAGTCTCCATCAAGACAAGAGGTTGATAAGGGAAGGAAAGTATCATTTTAAAAGTGCTAAAATTATAAAGGAAGAGCAAAAGGAAGCAAAACACAAAAACAGAGGCATCAAATTAATAGAGAAAAATTACTGAAGTTATCCTGAATAATGAATTGCTATTTCTTTTTTTTTTAAGATTTTATTTATTTATTCATGAGAGACAGAGAGAGAGAGAGAGAGGCAGAGGGAGAAGCAGGCTCCCAAGGAGCAGGGAGCCCTATGCAGGACCTGATCCCAGGACCCTGGGATCATGACCTGAGCTGAAGGCAGACGCTTAACCATCTGAGCCACCCAGGCACCCGAATTGCTGACTATTTCTGCTGAGGCTTTTGAATTTATGAAAGTAGCAAGATCCATTGATAAAATCTTATTTAAATCTACTTTTTGCCTCTAAAACACCAATATACACTAAGAACATTTATCCTCAAAGATCAAAAATCCTACTATGAATCTAAAAAGTAACAAGATTTTAAATTAAAAAATCTAAAAGATATACTTTTTTCCCAGAGAAATAAAACTAAAGGACAGTTAATTTCTTTCCTAACAAAATGAATACGTTGCTGTTTTTTAGCCTCCTATTTAAATAAATCATAAAAACCTTTAAGGACTTTGTCATCAGATGAATAAGGATTAGCCACTAAACTTCAATTAGTAGTGATATTTTTTATTAGCCTTAATGTGTACAGGCCTTTAAACATTTTGCATGTTTATCATAATTCAGCAATTCCTCAATACTCAAAACACTCAACACAGATTTGAAGCCTGAGATTCAAATGTGAAGGTCAAGTCAGGTAGCACTCACACTACACAGCGTATTTTAATAGGTGCACAATTTCCTTTTATCAATAACTCTGGGCATTTATGAGGTTAAAAATAAATAAATCCATAAGTAAATAATTTTCATAGGCTTTCCTGGTCTGACTGCAATCACTGTTTATCAAAGCTATGGCTCTTAGATGCTCCAAGTTGGATATGCCTATTGATCGTTATGTAACTGAAAATAGGGGCATGAAGTAAGTAGAAATGGTGCTGAAATGCTATTTTCCTGTTTTCGTGGTTACTCAGATTGGTGTTCATATCATTTACACTCATTAAACACAAATGCGCAACTCCAACTGTCCATCTAAATATTTCTGACGAGAGACAGTCTCAGCTCCCCAGAGGACATGCCCTGTAACTGAAGTCTGGCCTTGCTTTGTCTTTCATTTTCCTAGAAATTTTAACTTAAATCTGTTATTTGTGTGTTAGTGTGTGTGTATAAACACATGCATGTGTGCATGTATACTGCCGTCAACCAGGGCTTCGAAAGCAGAATCTTCACAAAACAATGACTTATTGTTTTTTTTAGATATTTAGGGGACTTTAAAACCAATAAACCTCCTCTCAGTCACATTCAATTAAATATATATATATATATATATATATATATATACACACACACATATACATATATATGTTAGATATATCTGATGTATATTATATATCTTTCGAATTAGGAGGCAATAGAATCTTGCAAACCAACCCTTAGCTCCGTTGTCCTGGAGCCAAGTTGTATTGGTTCCTGCCCTTTGATCAGTCCAGAAAGAATCTTGGGAAATTGTCAGCTCACTGGGTAACACATATTAACAATGTGAAGGCCAATCAATGGCCCACAATTAAACATTTTGGGGCTAGCATGCAGGTGTCACGGCATTCACGCTCTGCTTGAAATTACATGTTGTCCTTTCACTTTGGGCCAACTCAACCAGATTGGCTCCCTCAAGGACCCACAACATTTTAAAAATTCAACAAGAACGGTCACATACATGTAAAGCCACTGTTACAGCAAATCCCGGTAGTTATGAATTATAATATATAAGAATGTATGATATTTTATACCTATGGGAAAATACTGTCAAAGCAGCAAGAAAAAAATCATCTCAACATAAAACTTAATTGCGGCTCCATGTATTTTGTGGGATAATCAAATATTTACTGGCATTATGTTATCTCTATTTTAAATGAACTTACTACAAAATTTAGGAGTTTAGTTGATTGAGGTAAAAATAGTCTTTTATAATAGAAATGCTCACGCTATTTGCCCTTTGCTGCATTTTGGAATCTCAGAAGCCTTAATTATGAGGTTAACTTGATAGCATTCCCATATAATACAGATTTGGGAGTATAAACAGTGGTAGGGATTTCTAAAAGAATTATATATTTCCTTTGAAAATATGTAAACCATCTAATTTTTTTCAAAGATATATGCATAATAATTTGAAAAGCCATTTGGATGACTCACAGTTAAGAGACCAAGAAAGTTTGCATGTTTTGCAGGTTTTAAAAAATCATCTATTTATTATCAGGATATGAGGTGTTTGGAGAAAGAACCTGATAATTGTTAAATAATGACTTTTTTTTCACTATGTCAGACTGTGTGAGATACTTAAAAATGCGTTAATCTGTTTCTCTAGTGTTTCTTAAATTAAAGCACTTAGAAGTTTTCACTGATGCATTTTTAATGTGTCATCCAAGGTGTCAGGTTTAACTACGCCCTGCAGACTTAGAGTTGAAAGTGTTCTCTAGTTTAAATTAACAATATCCTTGCCAAAAGTCTTATTAAAAATTGCTTCATTTACCAGTGAATAAAGTGTTTTATAGTTCATTAAAATTATGCTGTGATTATAATAAAATCTTTATAAAAAGATATATTACTAAAAAAATAAGCCATCAAGTAACAGAAGATATGCTAATGAGACATCATCACATAGTCCATATTATATTATTCAAAGGATGAACTCTTCTTAAAACATTTCTAAACTGTTATTGTTGAGAATATGAATTGCAGTGTGTATATCTTTATATTATCACAATGGTTATGTCTCATGTAATTAAAGAGATTTATTGAAAGCACATGAGCTTATTATCACACTCATCGATAAACTAGTTATTCTCCATTAAAACACATACACACACACGATTTAGTGTAAAATCATTTCTGCTTCTGTCTGTCTGATAGAGGCAATTATTTCATTATTTTTTTCTATTTTTTGACCGACCCCACACAATTTATTCACAAAACACATATACATCTTCTCTTCTGAGCTCATGAAACTTTCTTGTTGAATAATTTAACCTTAGAATAAATTATCAATGATAAGCTTCTTCTAAAGAATAAAATATTGCAATAATTCAAAGCATTACCATTTCTCTGCCAAAATACATTTTGTCATGTAAGTATAACTCTTTGACCAGGATAATTATTCAGTTGCCCAAGTTTAGGGAGACATTGATCCCTTTCTTATTAAAATAACATTTTTCTTTAACAGCTGAGTGTGGGGCAGGATTACAAATGTGCAGCATGGAAAGTAAGCTTGTGGAAAATCGGAAGGAGAGTTTTAAAGGATGTTATCATAGCCAGAAGAGGAGATATGATGGAATTCATAATTATTTACTGGTTAACATACCATTCAAATATAGCATGTATTTTATACAGTCTTGCTTCTCAGAGGTAAATGCAGGTGTATTTCTTTTCCTACTTGTCATTGGATGGTAATACAATTACTCTAAATAACATGTAAGTCAGTCCTGAACAGCAGTTACAATTCCCTGCCCTCAAGTTGGCTATTCAGCTCTTGTTTTCAATAGTATATACAATCCTGCATTACAAGAGTGCCACAAATAATATAATTTCCATGGAAAGAGGCGATTATTGGCAAGATGACGAAAATGATGAACATATATTTAAATAATGGGAAACCCCATGAGCTGATTCACTTGTATCTCAGGGAGATGTGCATATTTAAAAAGTAATTATGTCAACTTAGTTTTCCTCTCTATGGTTATGTCACATCTGAAAATAGAAGAAAACAAGAAGAGGAAGAAAAACTCTGTACTCGAGAGAATATCTAGCAACATTATCTGACTATTTAAGTCTTGGCCACAAAGTTCATAATTCTCAGGCTTTATAATCACCATTGGTACTCACAGATAGGCTTCGTATCAAAGCCCAGCTACAGAAAAGCAGGAGACCTCATTGTCATAAATCAAGATTCCAAAGATGAAAATGACCTGTTTATGTGAAAAATTCACCTTTGACTTTGAGGACAGTTGTATCAAATATAAAATACCTATATTTAAATGTAATGCAAATAAATTACATCCTTTTTCCAAAAATAGAGAGGAAAAAGATGTAGACACAAGGACCTTTAAGGGGAAGGTTGAAATAATTAGAAGAGGGATACATTTCCACAAAATAGTAACATAGTAATACATAATGTTACCCAGTATAGTCACTCATCCCTTAGTTTCTCCAGAAGCACAATCGGCTTGAACATCACACTTCTTCCTTTTATCCCTGGAGGATGGAACTGGGGAAGCAGTTTCAGTGTGTGTGAAGGATGGCGGACTATGTGGTCAATGAAGTTACAAACTTTCCCCAGATTTTGAATTTGACACTCTGTTCTCATCACACTAATATGGATGAATACATCAAATAGTTTAGGGGACAGTGATGATTTGAATGAATTACCAGGTTTCAGTATGTTCTCATAGAAAAAAACTAAATGAGTGAACTGATTTTCCTTTACTCAGCATTCAATATCCCTATTAAATTTTATACAACTGAAAATCCCTTAGGTTAAAAACCCCAAAGACATATTACCATACAAGCCAAAAATAATCTGCCAAGTACCCCAATAAGTGCAGAGCTAGACACAGGGAATTCTGTATCTTCAATGGTGAGCCAGAAAAAAGTCTGAATGTACAAATGGCTTATTAATAATAAATTAAAACTTTAAGAATTTTAGATGTAAAAATCATATTGAACAGATGTTTATTATTCATTTTAATTTTTTGTAGACCAAAGGAAAAGATGTGGATTTATGTTTACTGAATTTATCATTACAATTAAATTTAATATTTATTCTTTCTTTCATACTACAATAAAATAGATCATTCTTAGTAATTAATACTAAATATTATATAATATCCTGCTCTAGCATTATGTCTTAACTACATCTGGAAGAGAAAATATTGATATATATTAATGTATTACATCATTTTTACACAGGTATGTCATAATATAGACACAGGATGAGGAAAGCCAAATTATGTGACTTTTAAAGAATACATACTTTTCATATAATACTAATTTTGAAGTACAATTACAAAGAAAAACGTGTAATACAAACATGAACAGTGCAAACATTTCTTTAAGACTTTTTGAAACTTTATTTTGGTCAATAAAAAAACACAGTGAATACTAAGTCAGAAATACTCAGCAACTTCCTTTAATAAATGCTTTTCACTTTATTAAAATATAAAGGTGATTTTTAATGTGGCCCTGACCTTTTTGTGAGCCAAATTATCTTGCAGTATTTAATACTATAAGAATTGAGAAGAAACTGTACAGTAAGAAATACTTGTTAAAGCAAATTCAGACATTATCATACATACAAAAACATTTTGATGTATTTTCTAAATTCACATTAATAAAAATGACAAAATTAAAGAAAAATTTAAGTAATAGCATGATTCAATAAGAATGGAAAAAAAAAGATTGTCATGTTCCAGGGTCTAAAAAAATTACTATTAAAAATGAATACTGACTTTTTAAATAGAAATTTGAACAAAGAAGATCTTTACAAATAAAATCCCATTATTTTAAGGACTCTGTATATAAATGTCAGTTTCATCTTGGTAATTTATTTGTGTCCAAGAGTGGAACCACCACTGAACAAATAAGAAGCTTAGTTTAGATCTTATATATTTTACAAGTTATAAGAGCCAGGTCTTTGTAGGTTACAGGAACCATAAACTCCTCTCACTCCCAAGAGCCATTTATTTATTTCTGGAAGTGAGAAGAGGCCATGATGGAAAACTCTTCTTGCTACAGATTCCAAAGACATAGTACTAAAGGGATTTTGAGTTTACAGAACCTCAGACTCAAATTTTCAGTGGACAAAGACAGAGAGTTACATGAATCTTCCTTCTCTCTGGATTGGTCTCTACCCTAACCCAGCCATTTTATTCCTGATCTGGAGCAAAGACATTTTCTAGACCCTGTGGCACACACAACAGAAACCAGATGCTGAGAATGATGCTGAGAAGGGGACCAGGCATTAGCAAGAGGATGATGTGGATGTGAGTGATCAGTGTGATTTCTAGTTACTTAGGAAGCATCACATGATTTGCTTGAAGTTTATGGGAAAAAAACAAGAGTGATGAAATCCTGTAGTACAGTTTGGGTGAAGAGGTGTGAGAGAGATTTGGAAATGCAGCTGATAGTTCTTCTCAACAAGAAAAGCTGAAAGATCACATGCTAAGCCATTACCTTACTTGATCTTTTCCAGCTCTTCCTCATTAGCATTGTCTGTAAACAAAATAAAGCATTTTCATTATCTTATGACTCAAATACAGAATAGGGCAGCCAGCGGTTTTCTAGAGGAAGCTTAACATTTAAACAGCAGTTTCCAGCAACGAGTATACAAGACAAAACTTGTTTATCACATACACACAGCTAGAAGAAGCACCTTTAACATTCAAGCAGTCTTTCTGGTGAGAGTTCATTTGCTATATTCTTTTGTAGACAGAAAGGAGACCGTATTTTTAAATAGAATGGAAATTTTGAGATATCTTAATTATTGGTTGGAAAAAAAAAACTCTTATTGAGTTTCATGATTGGCAATTGTTCCCTTTGGTGATGGAGGTGAAGGATGTATGATGACTTTAGCAGGTAACTTTTCTCTTCAAACATGTTCAAAAGTCTGTCATTTTGGTGGCATCTTAGAATTATCTCTGCTTCCAGTTAATCTTTAACTATATTGGGGTCTACAAATGTTTTCAATTGTGAAAAATGATACATTAGTTGATCTTCCTGCTAAATGTTCAGCCATAACATGTCCTTTAAATCAGTTTTTTCTTTTTCTTTTCTTTTTTTTTAAGATTTTATTTAGTTATATGACAGAGAGAGAGAGACAGCAAGAGAGGGAACACAAGCAGGGGGAGTGGGAGAGGGAGAAGCAGGCTTCCTGCTAAGCAGGGCGCCCGATGCGGGGCTCGATCCCAGGAACCTGGGATCGTAAGACATAAGCCGAAGGCAGATGCTTAATGGACTGAGCCACCCAGGAGCCCCTTAAATCAGTTTTTTCTGTCTGTGTGTTTCATAGTAAGAAGTAGTTATGGCTACGAGTTTTATTTAAGGCTAATGGAGATCTTTAATGAGTGCCCAAGATCAGTGGTCTCTTGCATAAAGTAAGTCATAAAAATCCAAAGATCTTTTATTTACTCTCCAGTTTTAAATTTTTCTCAGTGAACACTGAGGTATTAACTTCCTGATTAATCCTCTTTACCCTCTCTTATCTTTAAGGCCAATGAAGTGGAGAATAGGGAATATTTGGAGAAAAGAATATAGAGATTGAAATGCTACTCATACTTGTACATCAAGGAAGCATACTGGTGCCTTTAAGAAATATATCTCCTTCAGCAGAATTTACTATAAAGCAGGACCATTTCAGAAACTACTCATAAATTACAAAAATATAACAAAGGAAAGATTTTAATATAAGATTAAGTCATATAGAAGACAACCTTTGGCCTAAACCAAGACAATGGAATTACACAGAAGTTCTATGGTAGGAAATGAGAACATCATAAAATTGTCAAAGATAAGGATTCATTTGTCTTCTTTGTAGATAGTGGTTTTATAAGTTATATTTTCCCTGTATATCCTCTGTGTTAAATATTGACCAAAATATGGAAGAGTGATAGATTTCCTAAGGTTACAATTCCTAATTTTTTTTTTTGAATGGAGCCAGGAAACAGCAAAGCATTGTTATCAAACACTATTTATAGAAATATTTTATATGTTTTCTAAGTACTAATGTGCAAATTATTTTGAAGCAACAAAACCCACCATTGGGTTGTGGAGATGGTCATGTAGTGGCCATGTAATAAATACTTGTTGTTGATCTTAAGTGAGTTACTGTCATCAGCATCACCACCACCACTTTCTCCCTTATCACTGAAAGGCAACTGGAAACCAAATACTTTCACGGCATGTCATATTCACAATGACTCTACCAGCAGGAGTCAGACAATAAATGTTTAACTTTCTCAGAAAGCAGAGTTTCAATGAACAAAGAATGATAATTCCTAGAGATAATGCTTTTAGTCAAATCAAGTGAGAACAACTAAGATAAATCAGAAAGTAAAATATCATAGCTCATGGCCATTTATTATCATCATCTAGTTTCTAAGAATCTCCTAAAATTCCATTCTGTAAGGGGCTAAGAGCATGAGGAAGAGTTCAATCTCAGGGCAACACTACTCAGTGTAACACACATTCACTACTGCTGCTCAAAACCACATCTCCTGACTCAGAGCCACTGCATACAATAGCCCTTCAAGATGTAAAGCTAACTATAGGATTGGTATTTTTCCCGTCTTTCAAAACTGGCTTTACAAATAGGCTGCATGGTATCATTTTTCAGAATTGAGACACTGACACAAACAAAAAGTCAACAATTGCCCTGAGTATAAATATGAAAGATCTGGCAGTTATGGGGACAAATTCATTATTTTCTTGATTTGGTTTCTAGAATTCTATTATTGGATCCACTGACTCTCAAAATGTCCCTAGATTTTTAAAAATTATTATTTTATTTTTTTCATCATGATAAGTATATTCTTTAATCCCCATCCCCTATTTCGCCCATCCCCCACACGCAGCTGCCCTCTGGTAACCATCAGTTTGTTCTCTATAGTTAAGAGTCTGGCTCTTGGTTTGTCTCTCTTTTTGCTTTGCTCATTTGCATTGTTTCTTAAATTCCACATATGAATGAGATCATATAGTATTTGTCTTTCTCTGACTGACTTCTGTTTAGCACTGTACTCTCTAGCTCTAACTCTGTTGTTGCAAATGGCAAGAATTCATTCATTTATATGACTAATATTCCACTGTGTATATATACACCACATCCTCTTTATCCATTCATCAATCAATAGACACTTGGACTGCTTCCATAGTTTGGCTATTGTAAATAATGCTGCTATAAACAAGGGGTGCATGTATCCCTCTGAATGAGTGTTTTTGTAATTTGGGGTAAATATCCAGTAGTGCGATTACTGGTAGTTCTATTTTTAACTTTTTGAGGAACCTCCATACTGTTTTCCACAGTGGCTGCACTAGTTTGCATTCCCACCAACAGTGCAAGAGTTTCCTTTTTCTCCACATACTCGTCAACACTTGTTGTTTCTTGTGTTTTTTATTTTAGCCATTCTGACAGGTGTGAGGCGATATCTCATTGTAGTTCTGATTTGCATTTCCCCAATGATGAGTGATGTTGACCATATTTTCATGTGTCTGTTGGCCATCTGGATGTGTTCTTTGGAGAAATATCTGTTCATGTCTTCTGTCCATTTTTTAATTGGATTATTTGGTTTTTGGGTGTTGGGTTCTTTATATATTTTGGATATTAGCCCTTTATAGGATATGTCATTTTCAAATTTCTTCTCCCATTCCATAGGTTGCCTTTTAGTTTTGTTGATTATTTCTTCTCTGTGCAGAAATTTTTTATTTTGATGTGGTCCCAGGAGTTTAATTTTGCTCTTATTTCCTTTGCCTCAGGAGACATATCTAGAAAAATGTTGCTACAGCTGATGTCAGAGACATTACTGCCTGTGTTCTCTTCAAGGATTTTTATAGTTTCAGGTCTCACAGTTAGGTCTTAAATCCATTTTGAGTTTATTTTAGTGTACGGTGAAAGAAAGTGGTCCCTAGATTTTATAGCACGATTTCTGCTTCTTGAGCCAAGCCAACTAGCTAAATCATGGGTTTAAGTATCCCGCTCACAGGCTTCTTTTTCTTTTTAGATGGTTGGGTTAAGCTAGATTCAATAAAACTGAAAACAGTAGAAAAGTTTCAAAAAAAGGAGAATTTAACAAACATAGTATTACTACTGTTACCTTTGCTATCTGTGAGATGTTAGAGAAGAAAGATTGGGGAATGTTAAAGATAGGAGATAAAGCAAATTATAGAAAAATAAGATTTACGTTTTGCTCTATGATCTTAATTTTAGCTGAGAAACATATGAATTTGTTTTTGAAAGCATCATTACCTAATATTATTACAGGATAATCAAACTTCTTCATAAGCAGCTCAACTTTCTTTGAAGCCAGTGAAAGAAATAAGTAGTATAAAAATATGGCCTGTGATAGAACTGTAGAACTGACTATGTCTTCATGAGATTCCACATTCTCAATCCATTTTTTACCTTTATTTTTTATTGTAGTATTTTTTTAGGCAATTACATGGCTACTAAAGATGTAAAAATAATCACAGAATAGCTAGATATTATAGTATAGACATATTATAAAACATTAAAATTTTATAGGTAGATTTAAAAAAATGTTAGCTGTGAAATAATTCAGAAAAATTTGCAAAATAAACCAACATGAAAGAAGTATTTTTTTTTAATTTGCTAAAGGCCAACTGGGGTCAATTCATATGTTTCTTACAATCTTCTATTTTTTTAGCTTTAGCCAAGCAATTTGTAGGTCTAGTTTATCTAAAAGAGTGTGTAACACAAATTAACTCACTTTTATTTCACAAATTCTCCAATGAAGAAAGCTGTGGATTGAACTCTGCTAGAAAAAGAGCCAGAAAGAACTCAAACACACTATCAGACCAAAATACCATATACAGGACACACATGTATGCACTCTACAATTTTGTAGGTTCAAAAACAAGACATGCATTCAAAACAGAAATGACAGCTGTGTCATGCAGCTCATCAGCATGCCCCTGCCCCCCATGAAGACTGTGGTTTCTCATACACACAATGCTGGAAACTTAAAAGATATATATCTCTATATATCTGTTCACATCTGAGTTTTTTTTTAAAGACTCAATGATGAACTCAATGGAGAATTTAGTATAAGCAATTTTGAAATACTTTTGCTGTTACTCATACTATACTCCTGAAATTGCTGTAATTAGACATTGCATGTTTTAGAGGCTTTAGTAGATTCAGTAGGTTGATAGGATTTTCAATTCATTCTTCAGTTTTACTGATTTCTAGAACTGGCAATCCACACAAGGAGAAATCATCCCAACTGCATTATTCATGGAATGTACTGTCAGTATTAAGAGTGTATAAAAAAAAAAAAACACAACTCACAAGATAACTGATTTAGAAACTTTACCACTTTGTGATGCTAAATACTCTGTATTTCCAGTTGTTTTATTCCTACTTTTGATAGCATTTTCTTAACATTAATGTTCGTTCTATTTCCTATTTGATTGTTAAACTTTGTTACTAGCTCTTGAAACTCATGTCTTCCATTCTCTACTTTAATACATATAAAATATTTAGTAGAGTTTTGTAAATGCAAACACAAGAATAAACACATGGTTCTTGGGCTAAAGTCTTAAATCCCAAAAGCATAAAATAGATCATTTCTGTGCTAATAATCAAAGAGAATAGAACTCTTATAATTTTGGTGTGTGAGGATCAATGCAAAAATCATCCTCTATTCCTTCCCTATTCATCATGCTAAATATTAAATGGAATTGTGAAGCCCTTAATAACTGATTTCTTGCCTGCTGCATTTGAATTTTTCTAAATAAGATTTGTTCCTGGATTATTTGTGAAAGTTTGGCATACCATTTTCAAGGCAGCAATAGGTTACATATGTCAGACATATAAAAATTTAAAGATACCTTGGATCCCTGATTGTTTTTAACTAAAAAACTTTAAATATATTCCAGGGAAACATACAGAGCTAATAGTAGACATGTTACAAAATGGAGAAAATACAGTGATATGCTTCTAATGCATTGTCGTCGTTAAATACCTTCATAGAGCAATACAGATCGATTTTAAGCAGATGATCATCAATGTGCTAATTTTAACTCAAAAGGAAACTAAATAAGTACTTAATATTGTTTGTGATAACCTCAGGAACTTGAATACTGAAGTAAGGAAAAGAAAAAGAACCTTAAAATATCTTTCCCTGGACCTTTGAAGTATTCCTTCAAATCCTTATAGACATGCATCCGCAACTCATTAAACAGCTACTGGTACAGAAAGCTGGACTAGCTTTGAGGGCAGTCATCAAAAGAAAGGTAATCAGAAGCAATAATTTATATATATATATATGTATATATACATATATATATATATATATGTATATATATATATAACCAGAAGTGATAGGATAAATGATGGAGGTGAGCTGAAGTATGTCAGGTAGGACAAGTGACAGTGAAGAAAGCCTAGACTTGAGAGAAGGTGAGCTCTGTTGGAGTTTGTATGAATGGGGCAGAGGTTACCAGTGAGGGAACATATGGTGCTCACTGGAGATCTTTAAAGCCCCTCATCAGAAATATCCATTTAATTAGAGAAATAAACATAGGTCACTGAACACTTAGAAGAGAATAAAGAGGACATTATAGGACCTGGCACAATGCTTACAGATGATCAATAAATGTTTTTTGATGCTTGTTCAGCCAACAAATGGTTCTTGTTCAGAGGCTCAAAAATCTCATAATTAGCGTTGCTTCACAGTTTGAGAGACCTTAATAAAATAGCTATAAAACTGCTATATAGAACAAAACAAACAAAAGAGAAGCAAATTTGTCTTTGTTAGAAATTTTCATCCTATAAGCATAGGCTTAGAAACCCCGATTCAAATCTAGGACATCAGACTAGCCAGGATATGGGGGATGATGCCACGAGAATTTCCTGTAGGGGATCTTTCCTACTTCCTGCCCTCCTCCTGAGTCAGTTCACTTCTCCACAACCAACCCCGTGCTCCCAGCTATTGATCACACCTACAAGGAGGAGCAAGTGAAACCACACTGGACACCCTTCTCTCTACTCCTCAGGTGTGACTGAGGTCATGAAGGTCACCAGCCAGAGGTGGCTCTAGTATAGGCTGCAACAGTTGTGCTTTTCTGAGGCACTGAGTCCTCGCTAAGCTACTCACTTCTCTGGTGAAGAAGAGAGAAGCCAGGTGAGAGTCAATGCTGGTGTGGGACGGGAGAAGACATCCCTTTTCAGTTGCCACAGAGGGATGAATTCAGTGCTATTTGGGACTCTGAAGGGAAGGGAATGAAGTAAAGCAGTGAATGAAAAAATACTTGGCAGCAAAGGATTTTCTTTCAAAAAGCTGGGGTAGTCAAAGGGATTTGAATTGAGAAAATGGCATGAAGAATTCAGGAAGTACTCTTTGTCTTAAGGGCAAATGGGGCTGGAGGGAGACAATGAGGAAAAGGGAAAAGGAAGAAAAGATGAACAATACCAGATTTTTGATGAGCAACCTGTTTCATGTAACCCACCTATTTTCTTCCTATTCATGTTTGATAAATCACTGACGATCAGCAGTCAGGGACTGTAATACTTTTAAAGGACGTTTTTCTAATTAGAAAGACATTGTGCTGAAATAACAACTTGGAGAAACTATGGAGATGGAAAGATTTTTACAGGAATTGTTGAAGAACAAACAGTGTTGGGAACCACTTTGCCTGTGCTGACACTCATTTGTGTGCAGGTTAGGTTAACTCAGCAGCTTCATCTTGGTCCCAACTTGATCCCTGAAGCCCTCAGTTTGATGTTAGAGCACTTAGTAAATAACCCTTTTCTGCAAAAATTCAGCAGACCCTCCATCATCAAATCACCCAAATCACTACCTCAGCCGCGATATCCTTCTAATTTCCAGTCATATTGCCAGTAGGGATGGTTTGGGATACATAAGACCTCAGGCACTTAGGTATTTTCATTTATGAAGTGCTGTTCTTCATGAAAGGAACAAAGAATCTCAAAACAAGATTCTATCACTAAGTTTTGTTGATTTTACCTCTTATACATAAATCTGCCGATTTCTTTCCATCTCTACCTCGGACAATCCTAATCCAAACCTCCATCGCCTTCCACCAGGATTTTTGCGATAATCGGTTCTAACTGGTCTCCAAGTATCCATTCTCTTCCTTCCATCTGTTTTCCACAATGTAGCTACACAGCTATTTTCAAAAGGCAAAAATGATTATGCCACTTCTGATTTATAGACTCCCCCTTGCTCTTTGGAGAATAACCACAAACCTTAACTTGGCCAACAGTCCCTACACAGTCTGGATAGCCCCTTTCCACTGTCATCATTTGTCATGATCTCCCATACTCTCCTTTGCTTCCACCTTTCCTCAGCTCCAGGACTTTTTCAATTCCTGGAATGCGGCATAGTTTCTCTGGCCACAGGGCCTTTGTACATGCTGTCCTCTGCTTGAATACTTTCTCTTTTCCTGGTTTTTGTCTTATTAACTCCTATTCACACTTTAGACCTCAGGTCCCATTTGACTTCCTTAGAGAATTCCTGTCCCCCTAACTAGACCAAACTCTACTGTATTTGCTCTTAACAGCAACACACCCCTCTCTTCCCTCACACCCACACATCCCTCAGAACTCAAAACAGTCATCATGTTAAATTTCCTTCAATAATTATTTGATCCCTGAATTCTTCACTGGATAGAAGTTCTATGGTATCCTAAGGGTCTTGCATAAAACCTGGCTTATAGTAGTAGGCTTTGGCTAATACTAGGATTATTTGGATAAAGTAATAAACAAACACATAATTTATTCCTAGGTATGGATTAGCCAGCTAGGATATACTCCTTGGCTTGTACTGGGTGATGTACTATACTGCATACTTGTGCTGTATAATGTATTCTGATTTGGGAACTTCTAAAATGATGGGCTTCTATTTCTAAATATTCTCTGTAAACAAATTTCCTCACCTACCCTTCCTTTCACACACATGGGCCTATGCATATGCACACTTACATGCATTTTTTTTTTTTTTTGTGGTGCTAAGTTCTCACAGTAGGTTTTTGTAGGACTTGTTAGAAAAGAGAAAGTTATTCCTCACTGACTTAAGTATGGATACGTAAATCACACTCAGCAAATACAGTATATGAATATATGTGCTTATCGTTTACTTTTTAGAAAAGAGAAAAACATTTGTTGAAAAGAGTGCATTTTTCAATGAATTTAAAATGGTTCCAAATTTGAAGTTGGGATTCACTATTTTAATCTACAATCCAGGGGAAAATGTCAATAACACCTTTCCAGCAGACAACATATACCAACTTTAGTCATGCATTATTTTAAGACAGCAATACACACAGTGCTGAAATAGGGTATTTGGACTTGCCGAAAAAAATTATGTTTACTCCTAAAATGTGTTCTAATCAAAACTAGTGGGAGCAGCTCCCAGTACATGAAAGCACACTGAGTCTAATAAATAATCTGGTAAATTGTGGCAGGAAGCGCACTGGCAAGCATACCGATGCAGGTCAGACCTGATATTTTTTAATGTCACTTCAACATGCTGGAGTAATTGGCTCCTCTGTCTCCCTTGTCAGTTTCTCACAACAGCATGGTGTGCAAGGAAGTACAGACGGCCAGGGCTGGGAAATGGGTAACACCGATATGGAAGCCCGTCAAGAAGATGAAAAGTATTCACTTCTCATTCAGCAAACAAATACCAGAAAGCAGGAACTCTATTATAATTTCACCTCATTTTTCTTTGTTATGGTACGCCTGACAGTACGGTCAAAATAGTAGAGTCTGGATACCTCAATGTGGAATTCCAAATATTCGCTTCAGTAGCAAATGTATTCCCTGAATGCATACTGCCATTTGCCTACAACATAATATGTCTGAAATTGGGAAATGAAATTATAATAAAAGATGCAAACGTGTCCCTTATTTACTACAAGAGGTTCCCATCTGGAGCATAGAACAGGAAATTTGAATTGAAAAAGATATAAAACGCAGGGACTAGAGATACCCAGGATACTTACGGAAACAAAGAACAGGCCCGATTTTCATATGGGACTTCTCTTTTATTATCACCTCTGGGTTCAAAGAAGGCTCATGGCATTCCACCGAGTGAGAGCAAGAAAGCACTCTTACCAGGCTGTGGGGCAACTTACCACATCCCTGTGTTCTCCTTCTTTAGGGGTAAGGATGATGGACAGCAAAATGATTCCAAGGTAATGGTCAGGATAATGGGGATCTTTCAATGTTAGGGTCACATCTGTGGGCCTATGAGATAAAATATTAAGACTGTGAGCAGTTGTTAAGTGGATAAGCCAAAAATATGTTTTATATTGACAATTTTCTTATTTTTACGAAGAGAGTCAATTTTGTCTTCTTTACTTTTCTGGTACAAATTCTGTTGCTATTGAAATATCATTAATGCACTAAGTTATCCAATCAGTTGTGGATCAGCTGGCAATACTTGGGTTCACTGCAGAAGTCTCAGTCCTTCCTGGGATTCTAGAAGACCAAGAAACTATAACAGTATTGAGAAATCTATAAGTCCTTTTTTTTAGGATCTCTAAACACACAGAAAGCAAAGCCAGCTATTTTCTATCAATTTGAGACTAACAAGTAAATGAGGGTCATTTACAGACCACTACATGATTTAGAGTAAACAGATGAGTGGGAAAAAAGGAAAAGGTAAAATATAATTTGCCTAATAGACATCATAGACATAATTTTAAAACAAGGTGTTACTATTTTTAACAGGCCCCATTGTTTAAAATAATGCTTCTGTATGTTTTGGCTGTTTAAATCTATGCCTCAACAATTTTTAGGTTCAGAAACACAAGGAAATCAATGCTTAGAAGAGTTGGTGAGTACTTAAAAAGCTTTAGAATTACGTATGTCTGAGGAAGAGATTATGAATTACTCAGTACTACCCAGATTCACTTTTACAAATAATACAAAGTACACATTCAACTGACAATGGTTAGGTAATATCTCATTTCCATATTCCAATTAAATAAATATTTTAATTTCAACAAATGCATGTTAAGTTTTATAGTATATAGGTATATATGATATATACATAAATATATTGTATATATAATTTGATTTGGTTCATTTTGTTGAACAAACAGGGGTTCGTGCCCTCCGTAAACTTAAGGGACTGTGGAATATTCAATACCAAACTTAAATCTTTAAGTGTTGGCAAATTAGGGATGTTCCCTTACTTGTTCAGTCACTTATTCTTTTCATTCATAAAACATATATGAAACACGTATGAAATACTACACACTGTGCTATGTTCTGGGCAAAAACCAAATGTCAAGATCAAAGATAATATCATCTTCAGGGAGCTTAATTAGTAAATGATACAGTCGGAGTCTAGTATCGGGGGAAGGCTTGGTGAGGAAAGCTGGTCCAAATAAGAATTTTCAATCCTGTCTGCACATCAGAATCCACTGGGGAGCTTTAAAAAAGTGCACATTCCCTAATTCTACCCATGATGACCCTGGTTCTATAGATCAAGGGTGGGGAGTGGAAATTTATATTATTTGTAAAGCTTGGGTGATTTTCCCATACAACCAGGATTGACAACAGGAGATACTTTTTATTGCTAAGATATTATAATACCAGGAGACTCTTTCACATGATGCTTCATTTACCAAGTCAAGGAGTAATGTTATGAAAAAAAATGAACAGTTGTCTGACATCAGAGGTTTTAAATGAAACATGAAAAATTAGACTGATGATACAATGTTATAATAGTTGTGATACAAATTGCTCCACTGTCAATTTAGTTACAACTAATCACTGTGGTTTGACAATCTGTTCCTTTTGTCTTAAGAAATTCATGTTAAGCATTATAGAATATATATATATATATATATATATATATATCATACATACATATATGTTTTTACAAGGGGTTACAATTTGATTCAGTTCATTTTCCTCTAATGATTACATATAAAATTAATAGAAAAAACTTCATTACATTTTTATAATGATTACATGATAAAGATTTAAGAACATTTGCAATTGCTTTATGATGATTACCTATTATTTTCTTTCAAAGTAAAATCTTAATGCATTATATAGTAGGATAAGTATTTATATGGCTACTACCATTATCCATTTATCTGTACCCAGGGACTATTGATTTATACATAGAATGTAATGGTATATACCAGCTAGTGATTTTGAAAAGTAGTAATCTGGGATGTTTATGTGGTTTTGAGAGGAAGGAATGGGTAAATACATACAATAAGTAATGTGCCAAAATAAACACCAAATGCTTGTATATAACCTCTTTTTATTTTCTTAATCATCTCATATTTTTTCCATTTAAAATTATTTCTCATCAATGATTTATCTTTAATAGAGAACACGAGAAATTTATGCTCTGTGATTAAATCCAGCAATTTGCATAGCCTTTAACAGAAGTCTACAGAGAAAATAACTGTGGCCTTTATAAAAGAACACCACAGTCCATTCTGGTTGGAGCTCAGTTTTCATGATAATGGACTACATAAAATACCATCTAAGGCACATCCTTCCTCTATGGTGAGGGAGGGGAGCCAGCAATCACCTACGCTCTACCATTAGTCAGCCTGCGCAAAGCTCTAGGTTGGAATGGAGGACATGCAGGAGGTACAGGAAAGTCTGCTCTTTTGTCCAGTGCATGACAAAAATGACTATTGAGAGACCAACAAGCCATCAGTGTGCTCAAACGTAGCTGACTATAATACATAAGGGGGGGTTCTACTATTTCTATTTCATTTGTATTTATTTTTTTTATTTTTATTTATTTTTTAAAGATTTTATTTATTTGACAGAGAGAGACACAGCGAGAGAGGGAACACAAGCAGGGGGAGTGGGAGAGGGAGAAGCAGGCTTCCCGCCGAGCAGGGAGCCCGATGCGGGGCTCGATCCCAGGACCCCGAGATCATGACCTGAGCCGAAGGCAGACGCTTAACGACTGAGCCACCCAGGCGCCCCTCATTTGTATTTAAAATATAGTAATCCAGCCCATTACTCTGCTTTCTTGCATTCCACTATTCCTGCCACATTATGTATATAATCAACTAAAGCATCTTAAAACCATCAAAGATCTCACAGCTTCCTTTGCAATCTATCCCAGCATTGCTTGACCCTTTTAAGACATATTTTCCCTTTCTCTAGTATTAATTCTAAGCTCCCAGTTGAAATGCATTTTAAAAAATATAAGCCCATAATTAGGTACGAGAAACGACTAATATTAGTAATAATTATTTAACTTTACAAACAATCAAGCAATGATGAACTAATCTAACTGAGAAAATACAACTAATCTTTCTCCATGTTTGAGGCACTCTTTGATAACATAGGATTACCAGTGATGGCAAAATTAGATTGTACTTGGGCTCAGGTGATAAGGGAATGGCTGTTTTTAAAGCAAGGTACACGTTCTATTTCCTATGCGGTGACCTGATTCTTAAATTAATAATTTTGACTAACATGGATAATCTACTTTATGTCCCACTACAACCATACCAGACATGTGAAAAGTAAGGAATGTGTCTCTTATCTCTAGATTCCTGGAGCCTAGCACAGTGCTGAGAGACAAAGCAGGTGTCTAAGAATTTTTCTGCCGAATAGTTGTTGTTGAATGAGGTAGTCAAGGAAGACACTATTATTTCCACTGGGTAGATAAGAGAGATGAACTTGAAAAAGGCTGGCTAGCATGAAGGCTCACAACAATAAATGAGAGAACAGTGACTAGATCCCAGATCTGCTAACACTTTCTATTACACAGGCCCAGCTTCACAACAAGACATAGTGAGGGGCGCCTGGGTGGCTCAGTCATTAAGCATCTGTCTTTGGCTCAGATCATGATCTCCTGGGATGGAGCCCCACATAGGGCTCCCTGCTCCACGGGGAGCCTGCTTCTCCCTCTCCCACTCCCCCTGCTTGTGTTCCCTCTCTCGCTGTGTCTCTGTCAAATAAATAAATAAAATCTTAAAAAAAAAAGACATAGTGATATTATAATGGTTCAAAAGTTACCTGTTTAACTCCAATTGTGTGAGATCCAGAAACGCCGAGCCCATAAAGTCATCCTGTAGTCCAAAATCATAGTCAAATACCTAAGAAGCCAAAGAGACAAGGCATTATTAGAAATAATTCCAATATAAGCTTTAAGTGAAAGTATCTCGATTATAAAATACTAGTTGTCTATGTCACCAAAAGCAATGAAGCTTATTATTTATTTTTAAAAATTACTTTGTTTGAAATGTTAGGGTCTCACAAAACATTCAAAGGAAACTACCTTTAATTTTGTACTTAAAATTGCTGTTTTATATAAAATAGAACTTTAAGGAAGATGAATAACAAAATCAAATAAATATAGTACATCATCAAAAATCTGAGGAACATAAGCTTAGAATATTTCCCCCATATTATTAGCATTACTGAAAGGAAAAATAAGTTGGTATGAAACTCAACAAATATGCCTTCTATAGTGGGTTACTGGTGATGAGAATATAATTCTAATCTCTTTGCATTTTTCAGGTCACTGAAGATAAATTCTCTGATATCATAGGAAAATGCTGTTTTAAATATATAAATAAAAATTGAGGTGTTGTTATTAAAGCATTTTGTAAAGTCATGTTAAGGTTAAGTCAAATCAAGTTTTTATCATCACAAGCAAGGCTAGGAAATAATATTAATGTAACTACCAGCAACAAGCAGAAAGGAAAAGAAAAGAATGTATTTCTTCCTTCTGTCAGAACTATTTATCCAGTATCTTCTCTATGCCTTTCATGTTTCTTATTCGTATTATGATGAATAAGAAAGCAGCGCCCCTGATCTCTTGGGACCTGCATTTAGGAGCTGAGATGGTCCATAAAAACCCAAATAGATAGATATATTTAGTGATGAGTGCCATGGACACAAATGCCTACGGGGGTGTGTTGGGAGCTGGTATTTTAGATTGGAGGTCCAGGAAGCCCTTTTGGAGGAAGTCTGCACCTAGAGACCAGAATAATGAGAAGGATTAAGCCAGTCTGGGAAGATCACTCCCAGGCAGGAGAAACAGCAGGTGATTAGCATATGCAAGGGTCATCCAGAAGACAGAGTGGTTGAAGCAGACTGAGAAAGATGGAGAGTGGAAGAAGGCTAGAGAAACGGCTCAGGGCTAGATCAGTTAGGGCCATGTCCAAAAAACTCTAAGTAAATGGGAGTTGGCTAACTTCCAACCATTTATTAATTTTCTTACTCATTCATCTCCTCTGCCAATATTGATCAAGTATTCATTATGTACCAGACAATACGGTAGGTGCTGTGTAAGCAGTGGTGAGCAAAGCTGACATGGCCAATGCTTACAGTTTAGTGAGGGAGACAGTTGCTAGAGAAGGAAGTGCACAGGTGATATGTAATTTCCAATTGTGTTAAGTGTTGTAAAGAACAGACAGTGAAAAGAATAAAAATAACAATAGAGATCAGGGACAACTTTTAAGATGGAAAAAAGATGCTCCTAGATAAAGTTGGGAGCTGTGCTTCCTGACCTTTTCAAATAGAAAGTCTTTGTATTGTACACTGCAGTAAATGAGCACAGACAAGGAAGCCAGCTCTTGAATGGATGAACCAGGCCATCGAACCTTCCAGGATGTGAGAATCCATTAGGCTGAGAGAATCCACAGCCCAGTACTCCGGTGCCCAAATCAGCACAACTGTGCTCAGTAGTTAGAAAGCTTGAAGGAGAGGGAACAGTATGTACAGCAGCCTGAATTACTGGTTTTTCTCTAGACTAAGTATACTTCAAGTTAAACTTATTATGTAAAAAACTGAGATTTAAACCAAAAGATAAACACTTTGCATTACAAAAGGATTCTTAAATTTGAAGAGTCACAAAGGGATTTATTTAAGTGATAAGTTCCCTTAATGCCTTCTAAATTATTCAATTTACAGTCATTTGATTTACATACAGCCTTTCAGGAGTACATTTGTTATAGAAAGCACAGTGCTCCTGCAATAAATATTCTCCTTGATCAATTACACTTCTGAGTTCTAGTCATCTGCTCAGTGGCATATCACATGAGTATACTGCAACATCTCAGGCAAAGGACATGTCAGTATCTGCAGGTGGCTGCAATAGGGTATTTTACAACATAAAGTTTACGATAAAAATTAAATAAATTTCTTACGCAACCTCTTCTAACTGTATCACCTTAAAGCTTAAAATCTTGGGACTCTAGTGATAATCAATGAGACCAGCTGGGGTACATCCAGACATGCGAAGTGGAGAGCTGTGAATCTAGTGAACCGGCTAAAAGAGATAGCCCAGCTGGGTGATGGAATATTCGAACTCTCTTTACTCTCGTGGTGAAAGTCTTTCCTACAGTCCTATTGCTAGGTGCTTACTTTAATTCTCCTATTACTTAGCAAGGGCATCCATATGGGAAAGAATGGAACCACCAGAATCCATTCATTAATGAAATTATTAGTGATCCTACTTTGTTCTATGCTCTATAAACTACTTGTCAGAAGGAACATTGCTCTAGGGGGAGTTTCAGAAATACAGAGCACAGAGAAGGGATAAAATAGGGAAACGTACTCCCACTGCAATAAGAACACACACAGTTAACACTAATTAATGTTTATTCAATATTTGCTATCCATTAGGCACTGTTATCTGTTAAATATGTTATGGAAATTTTTTTAAAGATTTTATTTATTTCTTTGTCAGAGAGAGAGAGAGAGTGAGAGCACAAGCAGGGGGAGCGGCAGGCCGAAGGAGAAGCAGACTCCCCACTGAGCCCAACGTGGGGCTCGATCCCAGGACCCTGGGATCATCACCTGAGCGGAAGGCAGACACTTAACTGACTGAGCCAGCCAGGCTCCCCTGCTCTGGAGATTTTAAATTTATGTCTTACACAACTCAGTCAGCAGGGTATTGTGGTGTCCATTTTTCAGATGAGGAATCCAAAGCTTGAAAAGTTTGTTACTTCCCCCCAAAATTCAGGGCTTGGAAGAGGTCAGATTCAGATTCTATAGTACAGGATTCTCTGTTCAGAATAGAACATACTGAAATTTAACAAATACGACTTGGCCACCCACTGTGAGTGAAGTCCTGCAAATTCACACATGAACAGTTTAGATGGGATCCTTGCTTTCACGGAGTCTCCCCTGGGAGAGGTGGAAACCTTAGGTAACATTAGATAAAAGTTGCTCGGGCTCCGTTAACACCTCTCTTCATTCTCATGTGAGTTTAGAACAACACGTGTTTTATTCTAATCAATGAATTTATTTAACATCTCGATTCAATTTTCTTCCAAGAAAAATTGCATCAGGGAGTACACTGGCTAAAATGCTTTTGGGATATAAGTAACAGAAAACTCAGCTCCCATGAATGGGAATTTGTTAGCTCAGATGACTGAAATGCCCATAGGTGCTTATGACTTCAGGGGAGTTTTCAACTGCCAGTTCAAAAGATTCTTTTATCTATTCATTCAGTTACTTGAGAAATATTTGGTCAGTATCTACAATGTGCCAAATGTTGTTCTAGGTACTGGAAATACGGCAGTGAATGGGACAAAGTCTCTGATTTCTTGGGGCTTACATATGGGCAGGGTATAGACAATAAACAAATGCATATTAGGTAGTAATAAGTGTCATGGAGAAAAATATCTCAGGGTATGGGAGTGATGAGAAGTGCTATTTACAGAAGATGTTTAGGAGGACAATTAGAGAGAGTGGCATTCAAATAAAGAGGCATAATGAGAATAAGATATGGAAATGGATCCAGATCACATAATGTGACCCAAGATATAAGATTCTACTTAAATATGTCCATAACTCATTTTCATACCCAGGAAGCTTCAAAATACTCATTTCACTATACAAGAATAATTAAACTCTGAATTATAGTATTAACATTGTAAAACAAAGAAAATAAAACCTAACTGCGGCCATTGTGATTAGTCATCTTTAGTGGGAAAAAGAAGTTATGTTGCATAATTGCTGGGTGGACATAGGAAACATCGAGTCTCTCTAAGTCTCTCTCACCTATAAAATGGGGATGAGAATAGTTACTTGTCAGGTATTGTGAGGTTTACATGAGATAAAGTAGGCCTGGCACCTAGCACGGTGCTCAAGAAATTGTAGTTATTATTATGATGAGAAGATGTGACCATAGATTCCATCTTCCCAAGACTCAGTAACTTCCTATGTTCTCTGCCTATAAACCAAAAGCAAGTATGGTCACACTTGTTTATTTCCTTGTTTTGTTTTGCTATTGATTTTTGTTGTTGTTTTCTAAAATAGTTGAGATTCTTGATTCATGCATTTAGGAAGTATTATTGAACCAAACAAGACAAAATGTCTAAGATAATATAAGCATCTAACTTTGGAATAATTTGGTTTGGGTGCTGTGTAGTTTAGGGCTAGAAACATTTTCATTCCAACTACTCAGTTGTTTCCATTTAAAAGTCTAGAAAAGTGGCTCCCTACCCAAGCAGTTCATCAGAATAACCTGCTGTGTTTTAAAAATACAGAAGATTGGACTCTGCCTCAGAGGTCCTGAATCAAAGTCTTTAGGGAAGACGCTTGAATAAAAAAAAGAACCACAAATATAAAACAAAAAAACCCCTTTATGGATAATTCTGATGTACAGCCAGAGTTGATGATCATTGGTATATGACATTCTTTTAGGGCCCTTAAGACCTAATGAGAAATAATTTTGCATAAGATAGCAATATGGTCTTTAATTTGAACCATGTTTAAGGATTTCTTTTTTTGAGAGAGAGAGAGAAAGTGCATGTGCGAGCATGGGGACAGGGGCAGAGGGAGAGGGAGAGAATCTTCAAGCAGACTTCCCGCTGAGCACAGAGCCATGCAAGACTGATCTCACCACCTTGAGATCATGACCTGAGCTGAAATTAAGAGTCATATGCTTAACCAACTGAGGCACCGTGGCACCTGAAGGACTTTTCAATTTCAAATCTTAAACTTGGATAGATAGGGAGTTACTTAAGGAATTGTCAATTTTGGTAAAATAACAGTCTTAGAAACAGTAATCTGACCTCAAACAGAATCACCTTCCTAATTACCAAAAACTTTTATTATTTAGAAAAGACTCCAATCTAATACCAGATTTCTAGCCTATGATTAGGCCAGACAAGTAGCAATTTACACAAACATTTCCCCTTTCTATTACTTTTCTCTCTTCTACTGTAACTCTGGGGGTTCACTGTGTACCTTGGATAATAGTGTCAGTGAGATGAAAATCGAGAATTTAATTCAATTCAACTGAAATGGACGCTGAATTTACCCTATTCTCTAAGATGTGTGCAGGAGCATCCCTGTGGCAGGCTCCAGTGGCTCTTGCCTCAGTTAATAGAATTGCATTTAGGGTGGCTTAGTCGGTTAAGCCTCTGCCTTCGGCTCAGGTCATGATTCCAGGGTCCTGGGGTCGAGCCCCGTGTCGGGCTCCCTGCTCAGCGGGAGCTTACTTCTCCCTCTCCCTCTGCGTCCCCCCCTGCCACTTGTGCTCTCTCACTCAAATAAAATCTTTAAGAAAATAGCACTGAATTTAAACCCCCAGCCTCTACTACTACTTTATAAATATATTTCAAGTCTATTCCTATAAACTTGTTTTCACCTGCCCTTACTATAAAGTCATTTGGAGCAGAAGGAATATTCTCATTAAAATTAAAATCTACATGAACTCCATCCAATTGGAAAGTATGTTATTATTTATTCTGTGTCTAGTTTCTTTAAAATGACAGTTCCAAGGTTTTTTTTGGAAAAAAAATCTGTTTTTCCTAGAATTGGTAAAAGCACTGCAACTTTAATGCAATTTTATAACCTGGGCTCAGAACTGACTTTTGTTTCCCTTGGTAATCCTTACATTGTTAGAAATCAGATTACAGGGTACACATGGACTTCTTTTTCCTTTAACTGTAGACGGGAGGGTTGTAGACAATATTTTCTAACCATCCAGTACATAGATGCATTTCCATATCACCTGTCACTATAGAATCAGTTCATCCCTAAGAGATCTTTCAGGCAAGATTAATCTCCCAGCATGGAGGATATAGGCATCCTATCAAAATCAAGTCAGTCAATCACACAATGCTGTGTAGAGACAATGAAAAGAATGCAATGTTCATGAAATTCTAGTAACTCAAAATATTTCTGCCAATGTATTTTGTTTAGGTCTCTGTGTGTGTAAGGTTAGGCAAAAAGTAGATAACATAAAAAATGGAAAAAATAAAGCAAAAAGTTAGAGATTTTTCTCAAAAGAAGCCCTAGCATTTTACAGAAAATGAAAATCAAGTGAAAAATGGGAAAGCATATTTAAAAGCATAAAATAGTACATAAAAATATTGTCATTTTATGTTTGTACACATAGTATTTGGGAAGCCAGTGTGATTCCTACTTAATCATTTTTCTTATGTAAAAATGTACAAAAGTGACAAATACTTTACAATTCACTATTTTTTTCTGTATGGTGAAAGCTAAGTTGTAGCTACATGATGTCATACTTTAAAAACGCAAAGTGGTAAACAAACAAAAAAACAACCTTTGGAGTTTCTCTCCTAGCTTCTTAGCTTATAGTGCGGCATTAGCCAAGGCCTTTGGCCTGCATGCAGTTTCACCGTCTCCACGACAGTAGAAGGATATGCACATACACATTCTTGCTCTCTCAGACCACAATAAAAGTTTTTGCCACCATTTCTTGTGTGTGTGTGTGTGTACGTCAGATGTTTGTTTGTTTTTGAGCCTACTGTGATATTCTTTTTCAAACATGCATTTTGACATTTTGGTTTCTACAGAGATGAATACTCATTCTTGAGCACAAGAGAATAGCGAAAGGACCTAACCAACATCTAATGTAATTTTGGGAAGTTCATTTTGTAACCCTTTCAAAGACTGGAGATCCATCTGGTTCTGTTGTAGAGTAATATCCCAGTAAAGAAACAGGTCCACAGTAAAAGTAATTAAAAATAAATCTTTTTCTTTCCATGATTTTTCTCTTATGGGACCTTAAACAAGATGCAAGTGGTCCAGTGCAATCCTTGCTAACACCTGCTTTCTTTCCTCTCCCGTCCATTGTCCCCGTGGCTACAACTGCTCTAACTCATCTCTTCCAAACCTCCCCGGAAATAAAATTTCCTTTACATCCCACTTGTCTTTTTTTTTTTTTTAATTCCTTTTTCATCTTCTATCTCAGTTTTTTGTTATGAAGGTATTTTCTTTTTTCTCATGCAGATATTTCTTTCTCTCTGGAAGTGGGGAGCAGGAAAGAAAAACACTTCTGACCCGAAGATCTTCCCTTTGGTGGGAGGAGGATTGGCTGTGAATATTCCCACATTAATAATTCTTATGCCATCACACATTGTATATTAAAAGATAGTTCAGGAATGTTATTTAATTGATTTTCTTTAGCCAATGTCCACTTGAGACTCTTTCTTAGGCAAATACAGATCTATTCTCCCATAATGTCTTCAAGAAACTTACCAACTATGTACTTAGGAAATTCTCTTTTCATTGATCTTATAAACTGTTTTGCTATGATTTTTTTTTTAAGACTAGTCAAGTGCAGTAGTGAGAAGGGGGAAAGAGTAGAATAAGGAGTTCAACCTGTAACTGAGTGTGAACAATCAACTGAGAGAACTCACTACACCTTTGGACCAACCAGTTCTGCTGTGATTTTAATAAAATCTTGATTATTATTTTTCTTTCTGTGGAAAAGAGAAACAGCTGGAGGCAATATAAATGAAGAATTGATGGGAAGGAGGATGCCTAGAGATTGCCTAATGAATGATTATATGAGATTTTTGGTTCATGGGCCATTCGTGACAAAAGAGAGAAGGGGAGGCGTGTGGTTTTATGGTAAAGGAGAAAAAAGTTTGGCCGTTGACTGGATAGTCAGAACATAGGAGCCATAAACAGTGTGGAAATATGAATTAGATACAGAAAAAATATCTAGAGATATGGATTAAAGAGAATTTAGGTAGGGAAACAAAACAAGGAATTAGGGTTGCAATGATCACCTTAAGTTCTTTTTTTTTAAACTACATCAAGTAAGAGGAAAGACTCTTCCCCCCCCCCATTTTTGGTAATATGATAGAGACAGGAAATCCACCCCCTTTTTTATCTTTACCCTTCTCATCTTCCAAGGAAAATATTTTTTTGCAACCTGTAATGGCAGATCCCCTGATAGAATTCTTGAACAGAAAGGCTGGGTTTTGTGTAAGTTCTCCTTCTTGCTAGATTTCACGGCGACTTGTTTTCTATATTCCCAGAGCGCACTGAGTAAGTTAACTGCACCAAACAGGAGAAGACTGACTTCATAATCCTCCTAAATGACTGGCAATAGAACTGTGCTGAAGAAAAACGCTCCCCAGCTTCCTCTCCCCTCGCCGTCTCCTCTCTGTCACGCCATCAACAGATTAGAGTTGCGCAGAGCAGAATTTATCTCTGGTGAAAAAATCTCATCAGTCAGGAAGACATGATAGAAAACCATTAAACAGGGAGTTTTATGTCATTGCATTAGGGGAAAACGTAACTGGCTCACCTTGATATACAAGGGTTCCCTCAGATGTTCAACAAGAATGCAAGCTTTCTCCTCCCACACAGGATTGAGGTTCTTGTGTATTATTTTACTTCTAAACACTTCTTTTCCTCCAATTTTAAACTTCACGTATGGATCACTTGTCCCTGTTGAAGAGATAGAGATTGATTCATGTTAGTCACACTATTTGCTGGGAAGCAAGAGATTAGCTCATTTAAACATCAGGAAGCATTTAAAGGAATCAAAGTTAAATAAAGCTTATCGCATGGGAAAATAAAGGTTAAATGTTTTTTCCCAAATTTTTCCTTAAATTTTAAAGTGACAGTAAATATTAATAATAACTATTATATCTAAGTAATAATAATAGTAATTATTATTATTGTATCTTCTGATCTTAATTCTGTAACCCTGTCCTCGTATTTAAAAACCTCTATTGCATACTGCATATGTAAATTTAATTCATATAATAAACAAAAGAGATTATTCTGATATTTCTCTTGGTATCATCTGGTCAACTATAAAAAGATGATCCATGATCTTGACTGATTTAACTAGTTTTAGACTTATATATGCTGCTTAAATTTTAGACTAGTCTGATGGGCTTAAGGAAAGGTGAGTCTTAAATTGGGCTTTCATTTCATCCTTGGTCCCATATTCTCTGGAGCTCAGAAGTTGCAATTTTAGAACACGAGGAAAGGATGGAGGTTTCAGAGGAAGGCGTGCAGGGGGGAAGGGGAACAACTGTTTATTAAGTAATCTGCAAACTTCATATTATCCCCTCACACCTCCCAAGCTCCTTATGATGATAAAGAAAATCAGAGCTGTCGAGTAAGTTGCTCATGATACACAGCTAGCAGGAGATGCAGTTAAAATTCCAACCAAACTTGTTTGACTCTAATACCTGTGCTTTTTCTACTACACCTGCAATGGGGAAGGGCTTTGACATACTTCTATATATATCATACCATTTCTCATTGTGACCGACGAATGAGGCCAATCGATCTAATGAGTCCAGGCTATTACTAAAGATTCCTAGAGAAGGTAAATCAGAGACATCCCCAGGTAAATCATCCCAGTGTGACAATCTTCATCCCCAGGGAATAATTCTTTATACGAGGTCCAACTCCCTTATACTAAGATTTTGTTGGGGCGCCTGGATGGCTCAGTCGGTTAAGCGTCTGCCTTCGGCTCAGGTCATGATCTCAGGGTCCGGGAATAGAGCCCCATGTTGGGCTCCCAGCTCAGTGGGGAGTCTGGTTGTCCTTCTGCCCCCTGTTTATGCTCTCTCTCTCTCTCATAAATAAATAAAATCTTAAAAAAAAGATTTTGTTTAATTCTTTCTGTTTTGCCTAAACTGAAGCTATAGTTGATAACTACGGTCTGTATGATTTAAAGAAGAATGTGAGTGGGGGTCTGTAAACTGTAAAGTATGATATAAATATTAGGGATTACAATTATGATGCTGATATCCTTCAGCTTGCTCTCTGTATCACTTCTCAACACTCCACTCACTGCAGTGACACATAAATATCGATGCAAAATATAAGGACTGCCACGTAGGACTTTGTTTTTCTTATTTAATCATTTGTGGGCTTTCTTAAAACCCTCCACACTTTTGAAGTAAATATAATACCTTGCTCTTTGTATGCCTAGACCCGGGTATAATAAAATAATGATCCCAATTTCTCATTGTGAAACTCCCATTTTGACAGTGTGATTTTATCATAATGGTACAAACTTAAAAAAATTTATAAATATAAATATAGGCTATTATATAGTTACCCATTATAATGAATGCATTCTTTTGGGGAGTCAGTGCAACTGAAATGTTAAAAATTGCTATTTTTAACACAGTGGTTCCCAGCTATGGGCTGAGGACCCTGGGGATTGAGGGTTTTAGAGCACAAATTTGCAGGTTATTAAAATCCATGTACCCATTTGAAATTTCTCAGTCACGCCCTAGATCAAGTCATTGTCTTTGATTTTGAAATTCATCTATGTAACTATTACCACCTGCTAAAATATAAGCTCCATAATATCAGAGCCATTTGGATCTCCCTTTTTAAAAATCTCCAGCACTTAGTACAGAATCAGACATATTGTTGGTCCTCAATAGACATTTGGTGAATAAATGAATGAATTAATGACTTAATAGCGTGGGTGGCAGCCTCTGTTCCTGCTGACTTTTGTCCCCTCCACTTGGATATCTAATAGACATTCCAGTGTCCACAATGTCCAAAACTTAAGTCTTGATCTTCTCTCCTGCTAAGCCTGCTCCTCCCTCAGGCTTTGTCAGGTCAGTCAATGAATGACTTCATCATTTGACAACTGTTCATGCAAGGCACCTGGAAAGTGCTCTCAATACCTCCTTCTTCTCCATGCTTTGTACCCAGGACACCATTAAGTCCAATAAATTCCAAAATATACCTTATCCATCTTCTCTGCCTCCAATCTAGTTAAGCCACCATGATTTCTTTGCTGTTCTACTCTAAAAATAGCCTCCTAATTGGGCTCTCCCATCTTCTGTGTCCCCCTCCAGTAATTCACTATATGGCAGACAGATTGACCTTTTAAAAATGCAAATTTAATCTTCCCTCTTCTTTGCTTAACACATCTCAACAGCTTTCAACTACGTCTACAAGAAGATCCAAAATCGGTGGTTCCTGGGTGGCTCAGTCATTAAGCGTCTGCCTTCGGCTCAGGTCATGATCCCAGGGTCCTGGGATCGAGCCCCGCATTGGGCTCCCTGCTTGGCGGGAAGCCTGCTTCTCCCTCTCCCGCTCCCCCTGCTTGTGTTCTCTCTCTCTCTCGCTGTCTCTCTGTCAAATAAATAAATAAAATCTTAAAAAAAAAAAAAAAAGAAAATCCAAACTCTGTAACATGGTATACAGGACTTGCCATTTCTCCAACTCCATTTTGGGCCTCTTAGTATGTTCCAGCTATCCTGTACTGGAAGTTATTTTCCGCTTCCAGCTTTTGCACATTAGCTAGCCTCTCTGCTTGAAAAGTCCCTCCCTCCCATTCTCTTCCCCTTTTGCCTGGCTGACGTTTTATTATCCTCCTGGTCTTGGTTTAAATACAATTTTCTCAGGGATACTTTCTTAACCTCCCAATTTGAATTAGGTCTCATTATTACTTTCTCTTGGCATTTGCTCTTTGCTTAGTAGCAGTAATCATTATGTTACTTATAGGTTAATTTGTATGTCCACCTGTTTATTGTGTGAATTTTCTCACTGGCTATGACCCCCATTAAGGCCAAGCCCCTTCTCCGACACATGGCACGGTGTCTGGAGTGGAGGAGGCATTGGGTAAGTATTTGCTAAATGGATGAGTCAATGAATGACTACAGAGTTTGCAGTGTGCAGAGTACTGTTAAATTTGTCCTCTGAGATGTTGATAAAAGCATACCTGACCAACCTATACTGAAGATGAGAAAAAACCTGAAATTCAGTGTGACTTGCCCCAAATCACATAACAAGTAAGTCAGGAAGTAACAGGATAGAAGCAAACTTAGACTTTCAGACTCCAGATGCAATGTTCCTTCTACTTAGCTTTTAGGAAGCCCAAACATCCATATTTTCCTGCTTTTACTCTAAAATACCATCAGAGAATTATCATATAAAGGTGTTCAATAATCAGTAGGTACTGTAAATAATACTAATATTAACAAGTAGCCTCCTCTGGTCTCTAGAACACTCACACTCATTATTTGTTTAACCACTCTACGTCTCTGTGAGTCTACTATTGTCTCCATTTTATGGATGAGTAAACCAGGGCAGGTTAAGTGGCTTATTCCAAGTCAGATGAGAACTCATATCTGGAGACCAGTCTGGTTAGTGCTTTTTCTGGCACATCATTACAAAACACTCATTTCAAGATGCAACAATGCTTGATTTCTGTTGTTCAAAAAGAATAGCTCTTTTACAAGAAAAGTGATTTCAAGAAACTTGGCCTTGTGTCTCTAAGTAGTGTCTCACTCCATTTGTTTAGCTATTCTGTAAAAGGACAAAACTTCCAGTGATTCAGCACAGAAGACCATACACACAAAAGTAAAATCCTTTTGGGAAGCAATCTGTTTCTTTCTCCTTCCCAGAAACATTTTCCTCACCTGCTGTATAGGTGAACTGTCAAAGGTCCCTCAGTTAGATACACCCAGTTCCTGGAATCCTGCTGGGTGGTCCTAAGGGCTCAATGGTAGAGCTTAAATCACAAAAGGAAATCTAGATCACTCGAGCTAACACATGCTGAACAGCAGATACAACACACCGCCTAACAAGCCTGAGAGAAGATTTCAGTTGCTATCTTGAGGTGACAGTTGCAGAAACTACAGCATGCAACAGGTGAGTAAATTTTCCAAAGTCACACAGCAAGGATGTTAGGGCTTGAATTAATTGTTACTCTAGGTGCTCTCTCTCTCTCTCTAAAAAAAAAAAAAAGAAAAAGAAAAAGAAAAAAGAAAAGAAAGTTGCACTCAAGAAAAATAAACCCCATGGTCAAAGAAGCCTGGAAAATGCTGCATGTCATACCCCTTACTGGAGAGTCAGGGTGCACATTCACTTATTTAAAGGCGATAGAAAATGAACCTATTTAATTTTGTTCTAATATGCTAAATATTCTAAATATGCTTGGCCACAGAATTCCTTAAATTCTTGTGCTAGTGCTGCTTTGTTGCAATATTGCATTCAACCACAAGATGGCACTAACACTTATCAAATTGTTGTGAGGACTGTGGTTCTATTCAAAATTAAGGCCTCTTTACTACACACTTTGTGGTTTTCAAGCATTTTCTAGCCACCTGTGTTTGCTGTTATTAGCTGAGCCATGAACCTCATTAAAACATTTTCTATGGCACTGATGAAATGAAAACAGGGCAAATAAGTATGGGAGAAGAAACTAGGATGTGTTAGCCCTAAAATAAAATTCAGGTTTTATTGTTATTCATGTCATAGTCAAGAGCAACCTTCACACATGCGCTTTATCAGATAGCATTAACTCCAGAATTTATTTTTCAACATTAATCCTTTTATTTTATAATTATAAATTCTATGCTTTAAAAATTCTAGAGTATTCTAGGGGCGCCTGGGTGGCTCAGTTGGTTAAGCCTCTGCCTTCGGCTCAGGTCATGATCCCAGAACTGGGATCGAGC